TGGTCGATCCTGTTGATAGGCCGAGTCGTCGCCAGTCACAAAAGTTTTTCACAGCGATCCAGGCTGAAAGACACAGTGCGAGGCCTCCCAAACAGTGTAGAGTATCCAAATCATTGAATTCAGAAGCCGGAAATCCCCAAATGCAAAACCGCACATATGTGTGCTAGAAAATATCAGTTGATCTGGTGATCGTCCAATGAGCCATATTCTTCAAGGGAATAAGTATAGCTTACTGGCAACTGGTACATGATCATGATACTGGTTCATAATTAGTACTGAGCAGGCGATGTTTACAGCCAGGAAGATAGTAACAAGGAAGACGAGCATCATCCTAGATCTCTGATACATGGCATGCAACCGAGCAATCATGATGACTTGCATCATGTTTCAGTCGAGTCGATATCAGAGGTATTGCAAGTGGACAACTCACCGCCTAAAATGACAGTTACGAACATACTTGTCCCACGTATTGCGTAGACCGTGATATTGCCTGAAATACAGAATTAGTGATCAACCTCGTACTAGGATCAAACACTACGACTCACACCTATAGAGTCGTTATGTTGAGCTAAGTTTAATGGTCAGAATCTCACTCACCCCTACAAATGAGTGTATCCATTAGATTAGGATGAGATGGTTGTGGAATACTCACTGCATCTGTAAGCGAGACAATCGTCGTATTTTCTATGTCCAAGTGGTCAAAAGAATCGAACACAATGTATATGAGACATACCCAAAATGATGATACTAATCACAAGAGACGGGTTATTTAGTACAGGACCAACTTGTTGGCCACAATAACATACGCAGAATACGGAATTCCAACATAGCGCGTCTAGAACATTTTGGAGTCAGCACAACCGCCGACCGAGCTGTGGTATAACATAAGGTACGAACAACGATATACAGCACCGTCATGAGAGACCAGCGTTGCATCTGTCGCGAATTCATTGTAAATTTCTGTCATTTCATTTGATGAGACTCTGCCACTCACCCAGATCAGTTCAACCTATGATACTATCCTTCTTAGCGAGTTGGCTATTCCAGCAATAGCACCAACGTACCTCTTGTCCGAGTGTTAACACTGGAAATATCATAAGAATATCAGCGGTTTTCAGACACTGTGCTGCTCACCCCAATCGTATAAGATCACAAGACCTGTGGCAACTGCGAAGCCGTAAGTCGATATTATAACGAGACATTGCCAACTGATATGACGAACCCAACCAATAACTGTAAAAAATACCCAAATCGATTATAGGCCACCAGCTGGGACCACTTGGTACAACGGTCATATTCGAGGGATGAGTGTGAGTGAGTGGGGGATATTGGGGATGTAACGATCTAGTGTTCCTGCTAAATATACTAATACCACCGTTCAACGTTAACGTTCAGGCCTTAGGGCTTGTAGCAAGCGTATCGCCAAAATCGGCAGTGATGAGCATTCATTTCCACCTCCGAGTCAAGGTCCTTGATTGATTGAAGTAAGTATTGCGATGCGAAATGATGTGGGAATGAATTCATTGATTTCCGCCCAGGCCAGTGTCACGCTGCCCTGGACTGTCATTTAGTGGCACTAAGTCAACGTGAACGGTTAGGTGACTGTCAAGGTGGTTCAAAATTCTAAGGTCGGAAAATGGCGAACCACTTTGAATCTCAGCCAGAACGGATTGTGTAACATATCATAATATTGTACCCGTCAACGTTCACATTCAGAACGTTCTAGTACTGACCATATGATAGACGATACGATTCCATTTGCTGTCATTCGATGAGAACTATCGGTCAGTTGAAGCCTCTAAGAGAACTTTTTTTTTTTAAAAAAAAAGAAAGAGTTTTTAGCGTTACTGGTCAACGCGAAACAAACACGTGACTCGGAGTTACTTCAAGTTACACTCTGACAACACCAGCACCATCATGATATCCTCGTCTTCTGCCTCCGCTCGAGTCAGACACCAATAAATTTTCGGACGACACGTTTGTATATTTGGATCCATACAGCTTGACTACTGGGATAGACTCGAATAAGTAGTTCTGACCAAGCAGTGCTGCGGACAATCGGACTCTCGCACCTGAGCGCTTGATCACAGGGTGTCCGGACTCTGTTCGTTCCGGGTTTGATGTATTTCGAAAGGTAACTTAGAAGTCCGACTGATAACAGGGTACTCACCGGTTTTGTTTATATCTTCACATCTGTGGCGCTATACCACATTCACTATCTCCTGCTTTACTGACATGGCTTCAGAACACCTTCATGCAATCTCAGCTGACTGGCTCAAAAGTCTAGAGGTTGCATCGTCTACCGGAGATTCCACGTCATTTGTGAGCCATTTCCTTTCGGACGGGTGGTTAAGAGGTCGGTGCTTGTTCAAGGAACTGAGGCGTACTCACAAGTGCTCTCTCTTAGATCTTCTATGTTTTTCTTGGAATTTTAGGTCGCTCTCAGGTCTGGACAAAATACACCGATTCCTCTCGGAGGTGGTTGATGGAAAGCCGCGATTTGAGCATTCTGGTCTTCGTGACTTCAAGCTAGACGATCACACCGCCAATGCGCCTTCACCATTCAAACTGCCAGGCCCACAAGGCATCGAAGGAGTACAGGGTGCTTTCACTTTTACAAGTACGAAACCAGCTGCACTCGGACGAGGTTTCTTCCGTCTGACACAAGATGCCGATGGAAAGTGGAAGGCTTTAACCCTTTTCACAGACATGCAGGACCTCATCGGGCATGAGGAGTCTTCCTCAGATCAACACGGCCTATATGAGGGTCGAAAAATAACCTGGGAGGAAGATGTTGAAGCAAAATTCCGTGCTATAGAGGCGGACCCCACTGTTTTGATCGGTGCAGTATAGTTTCTCTCGTTAATCAAGATGAGTTGACGAGCGTCGAGCACAAAAGTTGGTGGTGGACAATCTGGCCTTATGTCTGCAGCGCGGCTGGGTAGGTTGGGCATTCGTGCGCTCGTGGTCGAGAAAAATGCGCGTGTCGGAGATTCCTGGCGACAACGGTATGTGAAAACACAACGATAGTGTCTTTTTCTTTGTTATAGATGCGGACTACAGGTATCCAAATCTTACGCTGCATACTCCCACACACTATAGCTCCAGTACGTCTTACCGCTTCTATAAGAGGCTCGGTGCTAATCTATACACAGTGGTTTACAGTCCCTATCCGTATGTACTCTTCGCCGTTCAAAGGTGTAATCTATCTCAGTAATGTTAGGACAACCTTTCCCAAGTACATGCCTAAGGGAAAACTTGCTAACTTCTTAGATTCATACGCTGTGGACCAGGAATTATGTGTCTGGCTCTCGAGTAGCATAGCCTCAACTCCAGTGTACAACGCGTCATCCGCGAGATGGACTGTGGAAGTCCAGCACGGCGACCGGAAAGTAATCATTCACCCCAAGCACCTGGTACTTGCCACAGGAAGCGGGAGCCCTCGCATTCCTACTTGGAATGGAATGGAAGAATTCCAGGGAGCCTTGTATCATTCCGACTTCCATAGAGATGCAGAGCAATCTCGAGGCAAACGCGTGGTCATTGTGGGTGCGGTAAGTCGTATTTCTCCGTTTCACACTTGGGTGCACATTCACAAGAGCATCAGGGCAATGCTAGTGCAGACATATGTGAAGACTTTGTAGCGCATGGTGCCACCGAGGTGCGTGTGTGGATTGAACTGTATTGATGTCATGATTTCATCAGGAAGGAAAGGTAACAATGGTCCAAAGAAGCGCTACATGTGTTATATCTTCGACTACCGCAGAGAAAATCATCTTTAAGGTGCCTTTCCCTGATGGAACTCCTATTGAGGAACTAGATTTCCGTTATAATTCAATGCCGAAGGCCTTTGTCCTGCAACTGCAAGTCTCAGGTGGGACAGAACACGTGAAGATGTTCGACAAGGAACTCCACGACAGTTTGCGCAAGGTTGGATTCAGATTAACCTGGGAATCCTCGCCCGGTAGTGGCGAAGTTGGGCTGGAAGGATTTGTATTCAACCGCCAGGCGTCAGGAACTAGTGCGTTCGGATTTGTTCTTAAGATGAATGTCTTTAAACACCATACAGTGCTTGACGTTGGCTGTAGTAAGCTAATCGTCGAAGGCAGAGTCAAGGTAGGACTTGTATTCATTGTCTGAGGGCTGTGTCTGATTGTTGCGATATATGCCCAGATAAAGCAAGGCCAAGATATCAGTCACTTCGAGAAAGATGGGATCACGTTTAAAGACGGCTCCAAGCTTTCAGCAGATGTCATCGTCCTAGCGTACGGTCTGACTGGTAGTTTCTCATCGATTTTTCTCACACACGTTGCAGTACAGGAAATGAACCCATTATGAAGACCGCCAGAGGTCTTCTCGGCGATGAGATCACTGATCAACTTTCTCCGCCAGAGGTGCTAGGCCTTGATTCGGAGGGAGAATTTAATCAGGTATATCGACCCTCTGGACATCCGGGACTTTGGTTTGCTTCTGGTTCATTTGAGTTCTCGCGCCCCTCCAGTAAACACCTGGTGGGTACTTTCCTCTGTCTGTCTGTACATCTCTTGACGAATGCGACAATAAAGGCTCTGCAAATCTTGGCCAGAGAGCTCGGTCTAGCATGACAACACGGGCGTGCCGTTATACATATGTATCTATATCGCAAGTCAACATCACAGATACCGACGTCGTGGCTTACCACGGAACAATTATTAGGGCTGCTCAAATGTAAACGTTCGAGTTCGCTTGGCATCAGAGCACCGCTAAATGTTGCCAAACCTAGCTTCTGTAAACAGTGAATATTCTATAGATATCCTAACAAATGTCTGCAGCATGTTACTTGTCGCTCCGTCATTTTTGTCACTGTCCTATGCCATTGCCTTGCGATCTGAGTTCAGGTCGTCAAGGTTCAGCATGACTCTGACTCGCTCAGTAAAAAAGGCGAGGAATTGAGACAAGAAATCAAAGTATGGGGGCGACTTCAAAGTGAACACATCTTGCCTTTGCTTGGGCTCGTTCATGGATACGGCCCTTTACCTGGCCTTGTATCACCTTGGATCCACAATGGAAGCTTGGTTCAGTTATTGGTCAGAAAACACAGCATCTTGACGCGCCATGAACGTTATCGCCTGGTGGGTGGTTTTGGCTATGATCTCGCCGTATCTAAAACTGAATTTGGTTAGCTGCAAGATATTGCCTCGGCGCTGCAGTATTGTATGTCTGCTTGCCTACGATAGTGGGAATTTTCAGTGATTTTTTTTACTAGTGCACTCTTGTGCAGTGGTTCATGGAAATCTAAGCGGTGTAAGTTCAATTATCGAAAATTAGGCAGACGAGCACCGATCTCTGATGTGCCGACGTCAGCATAACATCTTGGTGGACTCGAATGGTCGTGCCTTTGTAAAGGGTAGCGGGCTTTCCACAATGCTCGATGAGATTGCAGAATCAGAATCTTACGAGACTCGTCTGGGAGATGTTCCTTGGACAGCTCCCGAGTTAATGATCGACAGCTCCAGCGGACTTCCGACGTCCCAAAGCGATGTGTGGTCTTTCGGTTGCAACATGATCCATGTACTGGTATCCTTTTATCGACGATGAAATCACTGTATTTAACAACATTTTTTTAGATTCTTTCTGGACAGGAGCCCTGGCAGGAAGCTCCAGATAACACTGTAAAGGCCCATTTGCGTGACAGCCAAGTACCACCATTTCCGAAAGGAATCAGCGACCAGGATCTGTCTTTCCTCCAGCGATGCTTCTCGCTTCGGCCTGCAGATCGCCCTTCTGCAGATCAAATACTAGCCGTTGTGCACGAAGAGTCCTTACGTTGTATACCTGGAATACTGCAGACTGCGGAGGATACGGTCTCCAAGGTTAGTTCGTTCATTGAAACTACGTTTGTTCGAGCTGACCTGGATATCAGCATGGTTCTCCCTGTGGCATTCCTGATGTAATGACTGAATTCAAACGACGTGTTTTTGATCAGGTTCCATCACACCTGATTTATATCCCAAAGATGAAACTGATCTCACGGGAAGAACTTCTTACCATACTGGAACCAGAGAGGATCACGGAGGAGGATATATCTAAGCATCAGGGATGGTCAAGAAAGTCCGCTATAGAGTCGAGGTTGGTCCCCGACATGCTCAAATATGCCATCCTATCACACAGATGGGGAAACTCCGAGCCAACATTTCAAGACTTGAAGTCGGACAAGCGCGAAGGAGCAGGTTATGAGAAGCTGTATCAGTTTTGCACAAAAGCGAAGGAGCTCTATGATTGCAGTCTCGCATGGTCTGACACATGCTGCATTAATAAGGAAAGCAGCTCGGAGCTCGATGAAGCCATACGTTCAATGTACAGATGGTACCGCGATGCGTATATATGCATTGTGCATCTGTCGAAATCGCATTCATTAGAGACACTAGGAATCGACGAGTGGTTCCTTCGCGGCTGGACGCCTGCAGGAGCTCCTTGCACCTCTTAGGATGAAGTTCTACGGTCCTAAATGGACATCCCTGACAGATAATGAAAACGACAAGGACGACGCAGTGGTCATCTATGCTCTTTCCCGGGTTACAAAAATCCCTGTGAATCACCTGTGCAACTTTCGCCCTGGGCCAAACCGTGCCTGGGAGAAGATGACCTGGGCTGCGAGCAGGAAGACAACCCGCATCGAGGATGTTGCCTACTCCCTCACTGGTATCTTTGACATCAGCATGACAATCGCATACGGAGAAGGAGATCGAGCATTCCAAAGATTCATGGCAGAACTGATTCAGAACTGCAAGGAATGGCAAATTCTTGTGTGGGCTGGCAGGCTTCCTGGTTGTCCAACGGAGCCTAGCTGTTACCGCACGACGAACGACACGGCATTAGATATGCTCAAGAATCGTCAAATCTCGTGGTGGGGAGAGGGCTGTGGTGATTCCGACTTCTCAATTACAAAGCGTGGCATACAGGTCAGACTACTCATACTTCCTACCTCTGTTGACCAGAGCGAGTGGGACTTGACATTCCTTTCCCGACCTGCAGGCCGCCGCTGGATCTCACCACTCAAGAAGCTGGTCGTACAATTTCACACTTTCCCCCCGGCATCTACGACAGAATGGGCGATCGGGATTGTCAACTATCATGATCATGATGACCCCAACAAGGGAATATTGAAACAGAAGGAAAGTTATATATGCTTCCTCTTGAAGCGGTTTCGTTGCCCTGGCATGGATACTGTACGAAATCACTGGAGGAGGCAGATCACGGAGGACATTTTGACTGTTTCTTGCGCAAATGACTTTGAGAAAATTCTAGTGTGTGTCTGTTTATAGGTGACGGAATCGAGGTTGTGAATTCAATCTGGAGGAGTTATGAACGGACTGCAGTAGTGACAAACTTCGTACTTTGTTATTCGATAAACGTTGACTTGAGTGTGACTGTGTGGTCTCCAATCTGTGCGGAGGGCTACCATAACACAGCGACCAAGCTCAGCATATGCAGCTCGTATTGTCTGTAAGCACGATAAACTTTCTGGTGAAGAATTATTAGGCAGTCTAAGACCAAATTATCGGTCAGCGACTACAGGTACTTATCTGGCCATCCGTCATGTTTCAACCTGGTAGTGGTACCAAAATATGAAAAAAAAAACCTAAAGGGAGGCCGTCTGGAGGCTTTGCAGCGGTACGACATCTTTCACGCTGGAAATGAAGGTAAAGAAAGGGAGGGTGATACTCCACTACTAAGCTTTGGGGGAGGACGGCCAAACCAAGTGTGGTAGGGAGGGGAAGAACTTGATCTGGGAACAAGTAGACGTGAAAAATTGTCAGTAGCATTTACATAGAATGAGATGAACAAAAACATCAGGCTTGAAGCTTGAATGCTTGGAGTCGCCTCTAAGAGGTGTGTCCTCACAGCGTCTCCCCTTTTGTTATTCCTCCTTTTCCATCGGCATCCAGTAGACACATGTCTCCATCATGCCGGTTATCTCCATGCGCCCTGAGGGTAAACGCTGTGTTATTCAGGTCGGCGTTTAGTGTTTAGTGGATGCGGGAAACATGGATGATGAGGGTGATCCTGTCGTAGTTAATGGAGTGTGCAGACGATATACAGGAGTCACGGGATGTTGATTAGTCGGACTCGATTCCCATATTTTCTGGCGGCGCTTGCCGATTCTCAGTCACTGGCTCAAAGTCAATTCAAATTTCAAAGTTCAAGCTCAACGTAAAGGTCAAAATCAAAATATCGCAGTAATATGGAAGGTCTTAGCTCAAGACAGGTTTCAGCAAAACGACAAAATAATTTGCCTAGTACGCTTCCTCATATAAACGTGAAGGCTGAATCATGTTGGGACAGCTAGATCCAGAATTCTCGCACCTGAGCGCTGAGCACTGCTCTTCACAACATCCAAATGACGTGATCAGAGTCATGATAAGTGTGCTCGGACTTTGTACGTTCAGGGTTTGATGTAAGTAACTCGAAAGGGAACTAAGTCCGACAGATAACAAGGCTATGAGCTCACCGCCGGTTTCGTTTCTATTTCCACATTCACTATCTCCTGCTTTACTGACATGGCTTCAGAGGACCTGCATGCAATCTCCACTGTCTGGCTCAAAAGCCTAGAGGCTGCGTCGTCTACCGGAGATTTCACGTCATTTGTGGGCCATTTCCTTTCGGACGGGTGGTTAAGAGGTCGGTGCTTGTCCAAGGAACTGAGGCGTACTCACAAGTGCTCTCTCTTAGATCTCCTATGTTTTTCTTGGAATTTTAGGTCGCTCTCAGGTCTGGACAAAATACACCGATTCCTCTCGGAGGTGGTTGATGGAAAGCCGCGATTTGAGCATTCTGGTCTTCGTAACTTCAAGCTAGAAGATTGCACCGCCAATGCGCCGTCACCATTCAAACTGCCAGGTTCACAAGGCATCGAAGGAGTACAGGGTGCTTTCACTTTTACAATTACGAAACCAGCTGCACTCGGACGAGGTTTCTTCCGTCTGACACAAGATGCCGATGGAAAGTGGAAGGCTTTAACCCTTTTCACAAACATGCAGGACCTCATCGGGCACGAGGAGTCTTCCGCGGATCAACACGGCCTATATGAGGGTCGAAAAATAACCTGGGAGGAAGATGTTGAAGCAAAATTCCGTGCTATAGAGGCGGACCCCACTATTTTGAATCGGTGCAGTATAGTTTCTCTCGTTAATCAAGATGAGTTGACGAGTGTCGAGCACAAAAGTTGGTGGTGGACAATCTGGCCTTATGTCTGCAGCGCGGCTGGGTAGGTTGGGCATTCGTGCGCTCGTGATCGAGAAAAATGCGCGTGTCGGAGATTCCTGGCGACAACGGTGTGTGAAAACACAACGGTAGTATTTTATTTTTTGACATTATAGATGCAAACTACAGGTACCCAAACCTTACCCTGCATACTCCCGCATACCACAGCTCCAGTACGTCTTATCATTTCTATAAGAGTCTTGGGGCTAATCTATACACAGTGGTTTACAGTCCCTATCCGTATGTACTCATCGCCGTTCAAAGGTGTAATCTATCTCAGTGATATTAGGACAACCTTCCCCAAGTACATCCCTAAGGGAAAACTTGCACATTTCATTGATTCATACGCCGTGGACCAGGAATTATGTGTCTGGCTCTCGAGTAGCATAGCCTCAACTCCAGTGTACAGCCCGTCATCCGCGAGATGGACTGTGGAAGTCCAGCACGGCGACCGGAAAGTAATCATTCACCCCAAGCACCTGGTACTTGCCACAGGATACGGCAGCCCTCGCATTCCTACTTGGAATGGAATGGAAGAATTCCAGGGAGCCTTGTATCATTCCGACTTCCATAGAGATGCAGAGCAATCTCGAGGCAAACGCGTGGTCATTGTGGGTGCGGTAAGTCGTATGTCTCCATTTCACACTTGCGTGCACATTCACAAGAGAATCAGGGCAATGCTAGTTCAGACATATGTGAAGACTTTGTAGCGCATGGTGCCACCGAGGTGCGTGTGTGGATTGAACTATATGATGTCATGATTTCATCAGGAAGGAAAGGTAACAATGGTCCAAAGAAGCGCTACATGTGTCATGTCTTCGACTACCGCAGAGAAAACCTACCTCAATGTACCTTTCCCTGATGGCACCCCTGTCGAAGAGCTAGATTTCCGCAGTAATTCGATGCCTAAGGCCTTCTTCATGCAACTGAAAATCTCAGGTGGGACAGAATATTCGAAGATGCTTGATAAGGAACTCCACGATGGTTTGCGCAAGGCTGGATTCAACTTAACCTGGGAACTTTCGCCCGGTAGTGGCGAGGTTGGGCTGGAAGGATTTGTACTGGACCGCCAGGCGTCAGGAACTAGTGCGTTCGGATTTGTTCTTGAGATGAATGTCTTTAAACACCATACAGTGCTTGACATTGGCTGCGGTAAGCTAATCATCGAAGGCAGAGTCAAGGTAGGACTTGTATTCATTGTCTGAGGGCTGCGTCTGATTGTTGCGATATACGCTCAGATAAAGCGAGGCCAAGACATCAGTCACTTCGAGAAAGATGGGATCACGTTTAAAGATGGCTCCAAGCTTTCAGCAGATGTCATCGTCCTAGCGTATGGTCCGACTAGTTCCTCATCAGTCTTTCTCATGCCGTTGCAGTACAGGAAATGAACCCATCATGAAGACCACGAGATCTCTTCTTGGAAATGAAATTACCGATCGACTTCCATCTAAGGTGTGGGGTCTTGACTCAGAGGGAGAACTTAATCAGACATATCGACCCTCTGGACATCCGGGACTTTGGTTTGCTGTTGGTTCATTCCAAATGTCGCGTTTCTACAGTAAACACCTGGTGGGCTACTTCCTCTGTCTGTCCATATATCTCTTGCTGAATGCGACGGTACAGGGTCTGCAGATCTTGGCAAGAGAGCTCGATATAGTATGATAAAAGAGTGTTGCCGTCATACATATATCTATATCGCAGGTCAGAATCACAGATACCAACTCAGACATGACTTACCATGGAGCAATTATCAGGGCTACTGAACTGGCTTGGAATCCGAGCACCACTAAGTTCGCCAAACCTAGCTTCTGTAAACAGCGAACGTCGCAAATCCTACATCCTAACGATGTATACAGTGTTTTTGCAGTGTCTTGCGATCGTGTACAAACTGACGCTGTGCGGATGGTCGATCGAAAGCTGGTGCTGCTCGATGACTGTTTTCCTGTTAGGTTCCCTGCTAGATCGCGAGCGGTCAGCTTTCTTGCGAGATCTTGCGTAAACCCGCACATCATCCGGGTGGGATTCCAGCCAAGAGAGTGTGAGAGCCACAACGTACCTCAAGCCAGAAGTGTTGAGAATATCGCTGCTCCTTTTGTGCGGGATGAGTGATCAGGGGCTGCTCACCACATTTGGAACGCCCTTGACGCTGTAATTTCTGTCGACGAAGCATCGGGCTTGTTCCGGTTGATACTACAACTTGGCGAGTGCTTGGAGACTGCATAGATCAAAATTCTGGTAAGAGAATGAGATGCAAACATTATGTGTAGAAATCCCTGATGCAGGACTCCACTTCTTCAGGAGACAGCTTGGTATCTCGGGACTCGCCGTCAAAGATTCTAAGGATGTTCACGACCTATAGAACTTATAGTTACTTATTGGGAAGGTCAGCTTCCTTATGACGTTTGTGTCACGGCACCGACACGACCTATCAGGGTTTTGTTGATGCTAGTTGCGCAGTTTATGTATCGCACGCCTCTTGCCCAGGCTGGTTATTTCCTGGATGCCCTCAAAAAAGGTAAGATTTCCGACTGGGATGAATCCAAAGTCTGAAGGACTGACTCTTGTCGTGTACCTTCTTGTGGACAGTGGCGAAACAAAAATAGGTAAAAGTACTGCCTATGGTTGAGGTATATTGGGTCTCATTCTACATGAACTCGATGATAGGCCCTACTCCGAGTCGGGGGTACTCAAACCCATCCGAATGTTCAGTGCAAACCCGTTCCTCATGGCATTCCTCAAAATTGTTATCGCCTACGATTATGTCCTGTTAGACAATCCCCAGCTCGGATTCGACGTGCCATTCGTGGCACGTGTTTACGTTGCAGTGGAACCCAGTAATATCCTGGACTTCTTTGAATTATGTCTCAATGACCAGGCAGTTCGGAAGAAACTTCAAGGGATGTTGCAAGTTCGTTGCGTCACCGTCGCTCCATGCCATCCAAGCACGCAAGGTTTCCTTACGCCAGAGCAGCTACAGATGTGGCGTGAGGCTCGAGCACAGTATAACGCAGGAGGTTTCGCAGAAGATCCCGTAGGACTCATAGAGTTCATCGACTACAGTTGTGCAGAGGACTTGGTGAACTCAGTGACCTCTCAGTTGCTCATCCCCGCTGCTATGCTTGATAATGCAAGGGCACGCGAGCCCTTCGCAGGTCTCTCGACTGTCACAGGCACGCAGTTCAACGAACCCATGAGCGCTGCGACATGTTTACAGTAAGTTCTTCGTCTTTATCCTCGGATTTTAGCAAGCGGAGCTTCTTACATTTACATTGTATAGGTACCTCAACTTGTATATTCGGGCGGACGAGCGGAATCAGTTGTATATGCGGCTTAAGATGACAAAACAAGACATAGAAATCCTTCGCGCTGCAGGTCGTAATGAGATTCTTATCCGGTTAGAGAAGATGGAAAGAGAACATCTCTTTGGTAATATTTTCATGCAAAATGGGCGAGTGTGAGCGTGAACCTTTTCAACTTCTCGTTCTATACTAATTCGTCACGGCACTCCGGGCAACCCAGGATTCGTTATCTCTTTTACTTGTTCCTTGTCTTTCTTCTTGGCTACTCGTTCTGGGTCGCCGCTATGTAATGTTCTCCCATTCGCTGTTTATGATGTTCAGACGATCTCTTCTGTCTTCCCAACTTTTCTCGGTACATTCGCTATGTTAGTAAAACAAGAACCAAACGACGGTTTATATGTATAACGATGTGTAATCTTGGACGCGAAGTCTAGAAACCAAATCGTAAGCCAAGGCTTCCGAGAACACTGCAAGGATCGACGGTGGAAGCCTCTCGTGCCCGTAATATTGAAAGTTAGCCAGAGAATTGACAGGCTGTCGCGGCAGCGACTTAGATACCAAGGCTGGTCGACAAGTATAAGTAACATTCTGAGCATAACATGTACTTACACGGGCTGCATCTCAACAATTCCGGGCTCATCTACTGTTGCCATTCACATGCTATGTCCTTTTTATCAGCGAATGATAGGAACATCGGAAAAGAATCGCCCTGATCATTGCGACCTTCCTTGGCGACGCTTGGTGTGTCGTTGTTACTCGCCGCAAGACAGTCGGGCCGACTGGCTCCATTGCGGCTCAAGCTCTGCGGAGTATTAGAGAAAGGATCAGGCATAATCTGATGCGCAAAATGTCGCCGGGGCCTTTTTAAGGCAGGAACACAATGAGATTATCGACACACACAGCGTCATATGCATGCACTCGTAGCATATCGCGTAAGTAGTCCTTCCGATCAATTGTCTGAACGCGAATGAAATGTGCACGAGCGATAGTGGCACAATTGTTACGAGTCATGTAAGGAAAATTGTGCTGTAAAGTAGGAGTAGTGACGGGCAACAAATATCCAACTGGATACTGATCATGAACTGCTTGTTGGACTCGAGAGGCCTCAAAAAACCCGAGGAGCTTGTGTAATGTGAATGAAAGACTAGTTGTAGAAATTCCTGATCCGGGACTCCACTTCTTCAGGAGACAGCTTGATATCTACGGAGACACATCGTCAAAGGAAGAATATTCGCACAAGAATACGGAATAACTTACATTTTTGAGGATCTGATAAAGTGTAAGTTCATTGCACACGGCAAGGGCAAAGAGCTCACTCTTGCTGAACTCTTTCTCTTTCTGCTTTTGGATGAACCGTTGCAACGATGGAACAACCAGCTTTACTACTTCCTCCCCAACAGCGCTCCTCTCTTCTGAATCCTCTTCCAAGACTTTTGCCATCCGGTGTCGTTCTCCAACCTCTTCAAGCAAGTCATAAAAGCGCGTAAACCTCTCCTTCGCTGCTGCCTTCCAACCACTGCCGCTCGTCTTATCTCGTGTGTCATCGGTGAGCGCCTGCATGAGGGGTGAGAAGCTGGCATCAAAGTAACCTGCCTTGGCAGTGCGCCATGACGAGGTGAGGAAGTCTGTCGTGGGCTTAGACAACAGGGAAGGTGTGTTGGGGTTCGTGGGGCGCAAGACGAGGTGAGACACAAGATGTGAGACATTGTTGATGAGGAACACAGAACCGAAGGGAGGTCGGCGTTGTGTGCGTGACAACGTTGTGAGGCTCCCGATCAGAGTATTTATGACGTCGTCTGTAGATTGAATGAATTGTATTCGGACAACAGAATGAAAACACAACCCACAAACAAAGTGGTGAATCAGGACTGTTTCGTTCACCTCTACAGAGTTGGACTTCGTAGTTTTCCCTACTTGCTTCCCGTCACCCATTTTCCAGTTCCCATCTCCGAGCGCCGATAACGCAGACCCGACAGCATCTCGTACATCAGGTATGCGATTCAAATACTGCACGGTCTGTATTTGTTCAGTGCAGGTGGACACGAAGCAAAAGAGTGTTTCAACATACCGAAATAGTGATGTCCGCTAAGCTGACACTCAGGTCACCGCCCTTTCCGGCAGCGGCAAGCTTCAAATCAGCCAACAATTCGGGAAAGCTCCTCAGGCATACGCCACGGATTGCATTGAGTCCGTCTCGCAACTCATTCCCCTCCCGTCCACGCCTTGCTAACACAGATTCCCAGCGAATCTGAGACACAGATAGAGCAGAAAATGCAGAAAGCGCATGGAACGTGTATTTGTGCAGCGAACGCTTTATGAGGGATGTCAGAGATGACAAGGTATCCGTAAAAAGGGTTATGAGAGGAGTCAGAAGGGTATCGTAAGTTGATGCAATGAGGGTGTTGCTAGACAGCGGGGCGAGTTCGGTAAGGAGGATGAATTCGGTCTGTGTATCCACGCTCTATTGAGAATTTTCAATATAAGGATGATAACTAGAGAAAGCACCTCGGTGACTTTGAGCAAATTGTCTATCCAGATGCTGAACTCTTTCCCAGCAGCCACGCCATCCAGAGTCTCGGCTCGATCTACAACACGTCGTGAGTGCATTTCGAGCGCTTTGCGACTCCAATTCCCGCGCATGTCCGCATACCCTCGCTGCGCATCTTTGAGCGTGTTCAAGATAGCTGAAGCAGCGGGGTGAGAGGGATGCGTTGATGGAAGGGGCAGAGTACGGAGGAAGGCGACCAGGGGTGTGAGGGAGGACATTAAGGAAGGAGGGAGCTCAGTGAGCATAAATGCGAGACCTGAAACGGGTGGAGATCCTGAAGAGCCTTCTGCGACGAGCTTGGTATACAACTGGGAAAGCTTCTTCGCACCGGTCTCGATCAGTCGCGCCTTGGAAAGACAATTAGAGGCAAGTAAACCAGCGATGAATGAATCTGAATTGCACCATATCCCTTGAATCTGCATCAGAAGACTTGAATGCAATGGCAGCATTGAGGCGTTCAAGGATATCGATGTAGGCTTCAAGTTGACCAAGTTGTGGCCTGTTTATTGTTCAGTGATGTCCCAAGCCTTGATCGAACTGTTACATACCCTCGTAAAATCAGGCCTTCTTCTACGGCAATGCCATCTTGACTACTAGCAACCTCGTCGATCTTGAGCAGAGCGCGATCAATATCTGTGCATCACTGGATGAGTTTTTGTTTATGAAGCCATCTGGACTACCAACTATGAGCCCGTTGCTTAAGCTTTTGTGTCGAGTTGTATAGTGGTAGGATAGACTTCTCGAGTTTCACGAGGCGAGTGTCAAAATTTGTCAGGATAGCTGTCAAAGTATATTGCAAAAGTGGAGTCAGTAGTTACAGTTGGACATGACTGTAAATGACGCACAAGTCATCCGCTGTGAGATCTGGTGCGTTTTGTTGAGGTTCTGCTCTAGCTGCATCATGACAGAACGGTTAACATTTCGTGAATCCGCCCGAAGGAAGAACATACGAGCTCTATCTCAGCACTATCATCGTCCATAATAGAATCGTGTCAACCACGTAGTAGCATGGGCGAAATTTCGTCAACTTCAAGCTTCAAGCCAAATATCGATTGATGTGAATGGTAACGTTACAATTATTACAGTATGCTTTACATCGTCAGTGATTATGTAATCTATTGGTCGCTTCAGCGTTTTCGACTGGCACGGTTCAAAACCTACTACTAGTAAAGAGGCCCGCCGTGTGCTGGACGCTGCGGTACTTACAGCTGTGTCTGAGGCTAAGTGGGCATACTCATACTCTGGCACAGCTGGAAGGTTACCTGGTCAAGCTCTTGGTTAATTTCTTGGTTGATCGAGAGCAGAAGATAGTGGTTAGTATGATAGGCTACTAGTAGGTGCGTGTCAGTTGACTGTTACACCCCCGCCTAGTCACGTCCAATGTGCTTCTAACTCCTCTTTATAGGTATGGAAAGTTTGTTATTTGCAACACCCAACACGCGCATCGTTGGTCCCAGTGGTGTCAGGTTGCTCAAAAGTGCAGGTTCACATGAATCGTATGATCCCAAAATTCTCAAAAACTCAAGCGTCCAGCTAAATCTCTAGGACACCTGCCTCCTGCGTTGATATAACTTCCAATCTACCCTGATATCGATTCCATTTTGAGCCTGGTGACACCGGTCAGTATCGTCCTGCTTCATTTGGAGCAACGTTTCACCAAATGTTCATAGAATCAGATCCTCAAACGAATTCCGATAACGACTGAAGCCCAGTGGAACAGTACATGGGTTTCGTAGGAATCTACTCGAGAGTAATTCAGGCACGAATTTCACAGTTGCCCTCTAGTAGAAATCATTCCAGCTAACATTTTATATCGACGGTATTACTGTAAACTTGGGGCTGTTGTTGGTCTACAACTCGTCTCAGGCGGTGGCAGCGATGCCAAATGCATGCTGCTATTCCTACCAAGATAGCTAGAGGATGTGGGGTACAAACGCAAGGTCTTCCGGACTCTGATGGTCCATAAGTTGAGGATGATATGTGGATCCTTATTGGACCCTGGCGCTGCTTTTGTCTTATACAAGTACCGGTGTGAGCATCTTGCACAGGTTTTACCATCGCGCCATGCCTCGTGCACGACTCATCTCCGCACTTCTAGGCGATCATCTTTTTGAATGAATCCTTATTTGATTTTCAGCAGCAGCTTTTCATTGGCGATTCGGAGTTTGTTGGCCATTTGATTACGTTTACCATAACCTTGTTCCATGTGAAGAAGGTATGCTAGCACAAGATAAAAATGGGGTCTCGGAAGAGGTTCTCATCAAACAGTTTCAACTATGGGCATATCCCGGATAAAACGCCATCCCAAGTATTACTTGTATGACGGTAGCGTATCAATTCATGTACGTCTTCCTGTTCCTGTTGTTTAATCGCGATGGTCCTGATAACTGGTCGCGGGCACCGTCTTTCGCGTACACAAGTACTTTTTTGAAAGAGAGTCCGAATATTTCCGAGAGGCATTCGAAACAGCTGGGCCACAGGAAGATGGTCATTCTGACCAGGCAGCGTTTCGACTCGATGATGTCACAATTAGTGAGTTCGAGCGATTTCTGTGGGTATTCTACAATCCGTAAGTCCTTTCCCAGCTCGTGTTCGTTGGAAGACTGAACGTTTGAAATCGAAGGCAATATATGTACGATGAGAAACCCATAGACCACTGGGTCACTATCCTTGACCTGGCCACACGATGGAACTTTCCAGGCGTGCGAGACCTGGCAGTCCGGCAGCTGGAAAAGCTCGACATGAATCCTGTTGAGCGAATTATAACCTATGATGAGTACAACCTCGACAAATCGCTCCTCTTGCCCGCCTACATTCTTCTGTGTAAACAACCGAGTCGCTCGGTTGAGGATGGCAATCGGCTCGGCATGCCCACCGTCCTCAAGATAAACGAGGCTCGTGAGTATGCACAGAAGTCTGCATCCGAGCAAGGTTGTCATAGCCCCACAAGCGCTGATGCTGAAGATGAAGAACTTGTCGAGATTCTGAAGGACGTATTCAGTCTGAGCTAATCACGGGCTATCCATATGTAGGATTAGGGGCTATTGTGGGACATGACAATAAAATAGAACTGTAGCTATCCGGAGCTTGCATCGCTGATGATCAACAGTCTTGCACAACATGTGGGTCATTAGAATAGCGCTCAGTTATCTTCGTTACGTTTGCAAAGGCTCAGCACGTGTTAGCACCGCCCATCCAGAAGTTAATCGAATGTCGTTGTAGGCTCTCACGCTTGCGCTTGACTCTTTGTCTCTTGCCACCATGAACATCGCTGGTCCCTCACGACCACGTCCAGTCCCTGGTCCAAGAGATAGAGACAACTATGAGGAGGATCTTACCCGTATGATTGCGCAACTGGAGCTTGATGACGTAGAGAGATTGCAGGCTTTATATGATCACAGATTGCATCGAGGAGAGGGACTCACTGATCGCGAAGTTGCTTTCGCATTGTTGATGCAGAACGCTCGAGAACTTGCAGAGTTCAATGCTGATCGCGCACTTGCCCAGCGACTTGCCGTTGAAGAGCCTGATGATCCTGCGCCTAGGTAAGGTCATATATTGCGGGACTCCCAAAGCTAACACTGATAAGCAGGCCAGCAACAGCAGCACCCAACTTGAGAAAGTACGTTTGCAAGTGTAATGTTCCCCTGAAGTGTCTGATGGGAATTTCAGCACGACAACACAAACGCAAACATGGGGCCAATGGTTTACCTCCTTTTTTTCGACGCCTGAATCAGGTGATCAGCCACTCCCACCGACAAATCCAGGTCAAGCGCCCACCACTGCGGCTAGGCCAGTTCCTCGACCAGCTCCTCGGTGAGACGTATCACTACCTATAATGACACACTGTTACTGAAACTATCATAACTAGGGCCACTGGCCACGACTGTGTGATCTGTCAGGATCCCATCTTCGGAGCAGAAGTTCGGGCACCATGCGGCCACTTCTATGATATCGGCTGCGTCACCGACCTATTTCAATCAGCAACACGCGACGAGAGTCTGTATCCTCCTCGATGTTGTCGCCAGAACATTCCACTCCCACAAGTTCAGCCTCACCTGACCCAGACAGTCCTTGCTGAGTTCACTCTCAAGGCTCAAGAATTTGGGACCATGAAGCGCGTTTATTGTGTTTCACCAACGTGCAGCCGTTTCCTTGGGCCATTATATGAAGGGTTTTTCACCAAGGTCTATAAATGCACGTCCCCTACGTGTACGACGTCGACATGTGGCAAATGTCGTGGTAAACACGAAGGGTTCACCCATCTCTGCACTCCAGATGCAGAGACAGAGCAAGTACTCACACTCAGCCGCGCCTCGGGGTGGGCGCGCTGTCCAGGCTGTGCTCAGATGATTGAGCTTAACATGGGGTGTTTCCACATGACCTGCAGATGCAAGACAGAGTTCTGCTATCAGTGCAAAGCACTTTGGAAGAGCTGCGGGTGCCCGCAGTGGGACGAGGGCAGGCTGTTTGCTGCTGCAGAACGTCGCGTGGATGCTCAGCTGCCGCCCGTGCGTCATGCACAGCCTGTTAATCCTCTTCAACAGGCACCTGCAGCGCGCCAACCAGTGCCAGCAGCTGCCGCTGCTAGGAATCTACCTATCAATATACTCAGACAGGCGCCAGCAGCGCCCAGACCTGCACCAGTTGTCAATATTCGCCCTGTAAATCCTCCTCAACAGGTTCCTGTAGCAGCGCCCAGACCTATCTTACATACGGTTCATCGTCCCCAGGCACCTGCCCCAGAACCTCCTCCTGTTTTACCCCGTCCCACGATTCGCCATCGCGAGGCACCAGCACCTCTTCCAACGCCTCTTCAAGAAACCCCTACCAGGATTCGGAGGATTCGCCGTGCTCGTGTTTCGGAATGGTTCACAGGAGTGCCACAGTCACAGCCTGCCTCAACCACTACAACGCCGGACTTGGATAGGAACACCATCAGACAGCGTATGATCAGGGAGACGATGGACCGTCTCAGAGTGGACCACGACTGTGACCACAGAAGCTGGAAATTCCGGAGTGGTGGCGGACGTTGCGAGAGCTGCGAGATGCATCTCCCACTATACCTCTTCGTCAGTGGTTTGCGTCTTTTTTCTTACGCTGACACACCTTCTGATATGGCATTTATTAGCGTTGTGCAGGGTGTCAAATGCGCGCTTGTAACAGGTGTCGCCGAAACCGTCTGTGAAAATGACCGAACCGAATTCCTGGTCCCTTACTGATAACTCGCAATTGACTACGTGTGTAAAGCATAGTTTGATCTTGGACCAGATTGCTCTCAAGCACTATAATGCATTGTATACTTGGACTCCACGTACGGCTGTCTCCCTTAGTTTGTGGTATCGGAAATCTTGTGCAATCATATTTTGGCTCGTAGCCAAATCTAATGATTAGTCTTGGGCCATGATCAAACATGTCGGGAGTGGCAAAGCATCGTGCTGGTAGTCGTGATATCGCAAAGGATAGCGCCTAACTGCTGCAGTTTGTGACTAGACAGGTTGATCTCTCTGGCCATGTCCTTATTTGAGAAAAAGGGTTCGATGCGTCGAACGCATGATGAGCCGTAACCAATACATTGCATGAGGGCTAGATCATAGCCTGAGAAAATGAGGGTGCTTGACCAAGCGGAGTAGGTTTTGACGTAATTCCTCAAGGAGCTGAACGTACACCCGGGCCAGCGCAGCAATATTTCGTTATCTACATGCAGGCGAGAAAACGGGGTAGCTATCAAGAGGAACCCAGCAGGCTGAAGGCAAGACTACTTGTAAAACGAGAGGTCGATGGTATAGATCTTCATCAATGTTCTTCTCAAATATTGTCAATTTTCCCTGAGCTCTTGAATCACGAGTCTACTGTCGCCGCAAGGAGTGTTGATTTTAAGTTAATTTTGGCGTCAGTCTCGACGATACCCGCGCCTGGGATGATACCTCGAGGAGCTGGACGCAGTGCATAGGTCCTTGCGATACCAGACCTTGATTCCGTTGTCTACATGGATGCGAGGAAAAGGTGCGAAGAGTTCGCAGACCAGAGACAGCGAACAAGGCTGGAATAACTAGATGATACATGATAACACCTAAGCTATGGGGGAAAGCGCCTCTGCTTCAACTTGAGACATTGCCCATCTAGACCTGGCGGCTGCGACATGTCTCTCATTTTTTCCTTGATGGTTCATCTACTTCCTGTAAAGAATGCACTTCGTTCTCGTCGAAAGCCTCATTTGTTGTCTGGCTCTTGTGTGCAAGCGGCTTTGGACCTCCAACACTGAATTGACGCTCCTGCCAGCTTTTGACCCATGCCCTGTCGCGTAGATGTAAGGAGAAGAACGATACAATGTGAAACCTTTCAGGGGTATGTTCTTCGACTATCATCCCCTTTATATAGTGTTGGTTATGGGCTAGAGTGGCGCCAGGATAGAACTCTTGAAACCAGCCCAGTATGACGCCGTAGGTACTGGGTCCACGGATGTGTCCGTCTCCGACGATCTCCCAGACACTTCCATTCATCGATGTAATCAACCTACGACCAGAGTCGCTGGTCTGGCGAAGGAAAGGGTAAGAATTTGTATATACATGCATTGCAAGTAGCTCACCTTATCTTTGGGCCTGTGGTCCAGCTTGCTTGTTACAGCAGCTAAACAAACTGCCCGAGACGAGAATGTGAAGTAGCCATCGTCATCCATGGTCCTCCTGGCAGTAAAGTGCCAAGTCCTAGTTCATTCGGATACTCCCCATCAACAAACTCAGACACCTCTTGGAGACCTGTTTTCGTGCGCACCAGCGCTTTGCCAGATACACTCGTCTCTGCAAAAATAGGGAACGTGCATAGCACGCTGCACGGGGGTAAGACATGCCAAGCCAACTTGTTGGCGTAGTATTTCTTTTGCAAGCGCAACAGTGGCGTCGATGCGGTCACCCTTTTTGAACTTGCTGGGGTGGAGGTTTACCCCAAAAGTCCCATGATGCTAAACACCATGTCGACGGGCCGCGATGACGTTCGCATCAAGGCACTCTGCCAGATGGCGTGGTTGCGCGCGTCAGGGTCGCGTGCTAGTTCCTCCGACATCGCCACAGAAGTCGCAAACAAGTTTGGCGAAGCGGAACCGAATACACAACTGCGAATGAGTAGTGGAGAAGACGAGCGGGAAGAGGTGAACTGGATACAACCTGCAACGCAGGCATTTAAGATGTCGGGTGCTGACATCACGGCTGATTCGTTTGCTGTGACTTCGGTTACGGTACCAGACGCATCGCCAGCTATTACCAAGCCTGTTAAGCGCGCGTTAGATCGCCATACCATTGGTGAAAGTGGTGTTTACCTGATCCGAGCTTCCACGCAAGTAATACAAAAGCGCGTTGTGGCAGCAGCAATTCCTGCAGTGTCCACCCCCGGTGGATCCAGGCAGTGTCTTCATCGACCCGCACAAGTTTCTGCACACCGCCCGGGAGAATGATGCAGGGATCGCACCTCTTGTACATCTCGCTCATCTGCCTAATCTGCCAGTGTTTGTCTTCAGAATTGGTCTGCATGATGCACAGTCGATCGAGCCAGATGTAGTGAGCTCCATGTTTAACCGCAGTCAAGCAGGCTTGACTCAGAGTATGAATGCTGATTGGATCTCCATCAAGCGCACCGGCGACGGAAAAACTCTTGTCACTATTTGCTTTGGAAGGCTCAAGAGGGTTGCCTTTCCAGACATACGATATAGCAGCGTATTGGACAGATGGGAAATCTGTGAATTCCTCGATGTGGAGCAATTGATCTTCCACAAACCGATCGCAGTGTATCAAACGGTACCTCTGAGGGGTAGCATCAGGTGTGATATCCAGTACGCTGTCCTGGTTGACCGACGCTAATGGTGTTTGGAGTATGGTCCGAGCTCGGATGGTCATTTTGAAGGATCAGGTACTACGGAAAGAGGAGTCGAGTGCTTTGATGAATGTCACTGTCACTTTCAAGTCGCTAGCGCACCTACTAGGATGCCCGATAGATAGGCCTATCCTATCGATGAAGCTCATGGGTGGACCAAATTAGGCCCTATATCGTGGACTTCCAACTCCAGCATTAAATAAGGTCCTAAAGGCAATTACCGTCTCGATAAGCGATAAGCTCAGGCTTCGGGCTTGGGAAATCTCAAGTCCGGCACAAAGCCAATTCTGGGTAGCCTCGGCTTCGGGCTGGAGGCCCGGCCCAGCGCGTAGTATAGAAGGTATAGAGGCCCATCTTTACGGCGGCCGTAATACAGTGTACAGAAGTACCAAGCACAGTAGGAAGCAAATTGACTTACCGAATATGACACGCTCTTGCAAGGACAACATTAAGACAGCTCTCGAAACCACGAAGTAGCTGATACAATAAAGATTCTCGTCAGACACGTTTGAGGAGTTGCTTATGACAATACTTACCTCTCCAGCGCTCTCTTTCCTACTCCTACTCCTTCGTTGCATTATCGGCCATCCTCTCTTGTTTCCATGCTTCTTCGTCAGGCCGTAGACCACCCGGGAAGAAAATATCTGTCAACACAACTCCTACTTTCCTTTCGACCTCCTCTGCCTCCTTCAGCGCGGCAAAGACTTTTTTGTTTTGTACTTCGCGCACTTTTTCCAAATGAAAGCCCAAGGCTCCAGGGCTGCGACGTGCGCCGGAAGCGATGGCATTTTGCATCATACCCAGCGCACCGATGAGAAGTGAGTACCAGGAGTTATTGACTACACCGGTCATGCAAAAGAGATGTATCAGCCACAAAATGGCAAGTAAGAATGTGGCCGGTACTGTTGTCCTCGAAGTCACTTCTCTTCCTGAAGCAAGATCTGCCAGTCTGAGTCCAACCCCATCACTTTTGACAACCATCACATATGCGCTGCCATTCCCCTTTGTGAGACACACGACCTCTGATTTTGCGTCCGGAATAAGACGTGCGCTCCAGAGTTCCTTTTGCCATTGAGGAAGAGCAGCCTGGACTTGGGCAAGGAGTATCCCGCCAGCAGTGATGATAATAATCATCCAATTGCCGAACAATGCTCCGGGTATAATGGCTATGGCGAGCTGCACCATGATGACAATAACCCCACTATAGTATACCCAATCATGATCAGGTATCCCGCAGTCTTTGTCTGGAGAGGTCTCATAAAAGGTGATGGTGAGGCCCGGAGGGGTCTCCCCGGGGAATTCGTAGTCACGGACAAGGCGGGAAAGAGGCCAGGATTTGACATCGCGGGCGTACCCAGTGCTAACATCAACGAGGCTGCAGGGACAGTCAGGGTCCGGTGCCAAGCGACGGGACCCAATGGCGCAAAGAATGGCAGAGAATGCGTAGGCTACCCAGCCAAATGAGAATGCGACAGGAGTGAAGAAGTATGGGCGTGAAGAACAGAGTTGAGCGATTGCGCTTTGCACAATGTCACCACCGATAACCGAGAGTATGGTAAGAACACTTGTTGGATTGCTCCATTCAGCCTTCATGAGAGCAAAATTAGTGGTAACTTGAGCTTGAGACATGGCGAACACACAGGGAGATGATGGTCAACAGTAGTAGAAGAGTCATACAGGTTATGTAAGTAGTCAGCCAGATTGGAACGAGGCTAGCAACTTCACGAGGATACCTCGTTGCCAATCCACACGCTTCAGCATTGGTTTGGCATGTGTTGGATGTGCAGGTAAGCGGCTTCCTCTCCTACATAAGTACTTATCGTCCACTTCCCAGTTCACCGACGACCGTATCATGCCGTTCCAAATTCTTTCTTCTATCTGGAGGCGCATCCTAACAGCCGCCTTAAGTGAGGATTTTCTTGCAGTGATCCGTTGTCTATGCGACTAAACACGACTGTCAGGGTTTTTTAACATCTTTCTTGGGGCTTGGCTCTCCCAAGGCACTCCAAGTCCCTCACATGATAACCATACGTAGGTCAGATATAATGCACACGACAATGGCACTGATCGGTTTTGAAGGAGTACTTCTAGTCCTGGTTGGTCTCTGACCATACCTAACGTCCCTGCAGGCATGCCTCCCCGTCCAGAATTCACCCCGTTCACAATTCCTTACCTCTGCATGTCTAAGCCATACGATGGGGAAGGGTTTTGGACATATCCGGAGCGCCACGGTTGGATCATAGGCGCGAAGGACAAGAAATGTCATGTGCTCTGTCCACCAGGTATTTGCCGTGACGGCATGAGTCTGCCAGACTTTGGCCGCACGAGGCAAGCCCAACCGCCGATATTGTCGCGTGCCGACGGAATGCCAGTCACTGCCAGTGACAAAGTTGCGTTCCTGCAAGCTTGGCTCTTCTTTGGCGTCCTCACGGAAGTCTCTGCTTTATGCGGACTCGAGCTCAATGTCGAAGCAGAATTCATCGTTGACAATGTATCTGTCTCCACTGCAAAGCTTAACGGCTTACCGGGCAGATGGTTCGCAGCTGCAGCGAAGAAGAATCGAGCAGGTGATCATGCGTTCATGGAACATATTCTATCAATCGCACGACACGTAGTTCTTATGCTTTCTGAAGAGCTCGTCGAGGACGGTACCCGAATGTTCGAGTATACATACGCCGAATGTCGTGTCCTACACTCTCTCGACATCACTGCCCGTATCGTCGCTCTACACCTGCTTTTGCACGTATACATGCCCGGATTTACAGTGACCGATGAGAATGGATGGGGCCACGACAGGATTTTGAAAAGCGTGGACTGGATTGGCCGGGAATGTGAGGGATTGGACCAGTTGTCCGATATAGCGCAGACAGAACTTGCAGAACAAGGCTGGTGCGCGAGCGAGATTGACCTGTTGGCACCTGACGACCTGGCCTTCGCATCCCTCCTCACTCGTCCGAGAATCAGGGACCATTCCAGCTGTGGGGATGTTATTTGCAATGCATATCAGACGGACGAGGCGAGTTACGTTACGAGGCATGTGCAAGACGGATGCAGCTGCAACTTCGTAGGTGTACCGACAAGTCTTTTGGTTGATGCATTGTCCCAGAACAAGGTTCCCAGACTGTGTATTACTGAGCAGTTGGAGTTACGAGTGGTTGTGGAAGACAATTACCCATACATCGCGTTCTCCCATGTTTGTACGTCTCCATTGCTGTCTAACCCTTCCTCCACTGATCTTATGTTGCCAATCAAGGGGCCGATGGGCTTGGAAACCCGCTCACAAATGCACTTCCTAGATGCCAGCTTCGCCGATTGCAGGATTATGCAAACGAACTATACCGCATACACAATCCTATATCAACCTCTGAATCGGCTGACTTGCCAGTCGCACTTTGGCTGGATACGCTCTGCATACCCGTTGAGCCAAGTGCAAGAGCATACCGTAAGAAAGCCATCCAGCTCCTAGGAAAGACTTTCAATGAGGCAGACGCCGTCTTGGTTCTCGATCGGGAACTCGAGATCGTTGAATCTGCCACAGTGTCGTTTTTGGAACTGGGGTTGCGCATACTATGCAGTGGCTGGATGAAGCGCCTATGGACGCTACAGGAGGCAACACTAGCAAGCGAGGCGCATAACGTAACCCTCCTGTACTTCCAGATGTGCGACGGTCCTTTCTTGTACCAGAAATACGATCGCAATAGGAGTGCGCTACGACGTGTCGACGAACGCGTGACCGAGATCCAGGCAGAGGAACGGTCTCTTCTTCACGACCATGGTATGATGCTAGAGCTCGGGGCGCAACTACCGTCTGTGGGCATGATGCGCAATATGCGACAAGGCTGGTCGCCATTCAGGGTCATACACTCTGCTATAGAGCATCGGTCAACTAGCAAAGCCGAAGACGTACCGGTATGCATTGCCTCCCTATTGGGCAAAGACCTATCTACTATTCTTTCCGGTGCGGACGTGGAACAACGCATGGCCAACTTCTACGTTCTCATGCGGGAGATCCCACTTGGTGTGATGTGGTGCGAGGGACCAGAGAAGCTAAGCGTTAAGCCGTTTCGTTGGGCGCCCCTGTCAATTACTGCCTGCCCGCAAACCGTTTTTCTGGGAGGAGATGTTTGTGTTTGTGACTCTGCTGGCCTGCATGTCAGGTACTCTGGCTTTGTCTTTGCGGAGAACGAAGAAGAACGACATGATTCGGAGGCAAATCTCCCTCCTGTCGTCGACATGGTATCTGCTGAGACAGGGAGTGTATTAGGGCAACTCTTTGCTCTTCCAAGACGGGCACGTCGGGAAATTTCTCTACAGCGAAATTTAGCAGCGATAGTCAGGTATGATGATCGTCCCTGGTATGCATCCCACTGCCGCGATCGTGGTTATTGAGGGCACTGTCGAAGTGGACAGGGAGATGCAATTGACTGAGTTTGTTTGCAGAATTGTTGGTTACATGTATCTTCAGTCTCCAGATCGGGCTCCAGGAACGGCAGTTCGTGTCCATGCTACAGCGGTCGATCAGATGTGGTGCATAACTTGATGTCCCGAGCTTGTGGGAGTGTGGAACATACACCTTTTGTATGCACATTTAATTGATACCAATACTTAAATTTTAGTTTCATTACATCGCCGGAGCAGAGTATAACTTCTAATGGACACATTGTACAATTGTCATGAACTTGTGTTTCTGTCAGTGAATATATCTCATCTTCTATAGAGCCTATAAACATAAATTGTGGTATCGTCCTGTTCTTCTTTGTAGACGAGTCCGTTTCTGCAACCGAATGGTAGACATTAACAACACAATGGAAGCGATAGCCCTACACGCTAATCATCCGTCACAAGGCCAAATGCTTATCTTGATTTCTCTATTCTTACTGTCGTCCGCTTGTACGACGTCATCGTCCCGCCATACAATGCCACAACTCGGAAGACCCAGCAGCTCCGGAAGCATAACGCGAGTCTGCACAGTTATGGTCAGTTAAGCGTGGAATGTGGCTACAAGAAGGTACCACGCAAGGTCAAGGGTATTTGCAAGGGCAAACACGATAAATACGCACCTCTTTGATAAGCTTGCGGACCTTGGTATACCGCGTCTTCACCTCGCTAGCATCAAATGCGATCACTTGCTCGTTCACTCCATCCACCAATGTCAAATCATCAGAGGAGGCGTGTGGTAGAGGAGATACGCGACCGCTCTCTGGTGGCGACTGAACAGCTGGTGTGGATCCAAAGGGGAGCCCGTCGTTATCGGAGACGTAGTGTTCTTCGACCTGGAGCAGTTTTTCAGTTGGTTTTACGGTGCGCTGTGGTAGTGGTGGTGGGAGGTAAGTGATAACACGTCTCGTTGTCTGAGTGTCAAGCTTCTTCTCTGTCCGTGTTACGCCCGTCCTCCGGCCCTTTGAATTTCCGACCGCAATGCCAGGAAGACGGAGACTGAACGGTCCCGATGACAATACGTAACCGGGCTTGAAATTCTTACTCTTTTTCTTCTCGGGTTTCATAACTGTGCTCCAGTTAGCGTCAGGGTCATCATCGAACGAGTATGCAGAAATTTGGCGACCACAGAGTGAAACTGACGAGGTCGCGATGTTACGTTTCGGTGTAAACTTTTTGGCACGTTGGAGCAGTGGAGACGGCGTTGGAGATTGGTATGGACGCTTCCTGGACTCGGGAGATATCAGATCGTTTTGGTTTCGCACCGGGCTTGAAACTCCTTCGATAAATTCTGCTTGAGCCTGTGGAGGGTTGAGGGAACTGTGAATGGTGGAGGCCAGCCACTGCGGCATTGACGGAGGTTCTGCTTCAACCATCGCAGGTTGTACTGTGCGGCAGGACCCCACCGACGGAACCTGAGGAACGGGCAATGCAGGCAACGCTTGAAAACGCTCTGCGGAGTGCAGAAAACGTGCATAATATACTACGAAAGCGCACCAAGGTACTCACGATTACCAGTAAGACGTATGCCATGACGAAAATGCGAGGAGGGTTGGTTACACGGAAGCAATCTCGAGGGAGTATTGATATTCCTATCGAAAGGCCTTGGGGGGGAAGATTGATAACCTCCTGGTCGAAGGTATGAAGCATTCGCTGCATACTCGCGGCTGGTAAGTGGGGATGACATAGATATGAATCGCGCGTTATATTGCGATTCTGACATCAGACTCGTGTCGGAGGTGGATATATGCGCTTCGCTTCGTTGTAAGAGAGCATCATGATTCATTTGAATGTTGCCGCGCTTTCCATCTGGGGTGCAAGATGACATTGGAACGCCCGGATGAGGTTCGACTTGCAGATCATGGAGGGGAGCGTTGGACGACAATGCAGCGGACACATCTAAAGGTCTGATTTGAGATCTCTTGGAAAGAAACGATGCATTATCGTGCTGCCGAGTAATCCCATGGTTCAGTATTACTCATTCCCCGGATGTGTGAACAAACTTGGTGTTCCCGAGAGACCTGCGACGTATTCGACTTGGGCTTTGTAACCTTGGGTGCCTTCGAAGGAGGGGGTGCACGAGGTGGCTTGCGCTCTGCCTGTACTTTGAATGCATCCACAATGCGACCTTGTGGCGCCCGTGGTTGTGATTTTTGTCGTTTGTCCTCTGAGATTGCCTGGCCGGGGTGTTCCTTATTCGGGGGACGACTAGCAGCATTAATACGTGCAATACTCCATGGGTTGGGCTTGTACTCCACAGTCTCGTGCCGCAAGGAGATATCGAGTTCTTGAATAAGTCTAGTGTTGTCGGAAGGAGTATCGACTTTGGAGCTAATTTCGGTCTCGGATTCAGAGTCGGAGTCGGATGCATAATGAGCTTGAGTGCGAAGGTTAAATGACCACGGATTCTGTTCTTTCTTTGATTCAGGTGGATTCATGTAAGCAATAATCGGAGGTGCATAAGTTATAATGTCGGAGCACTGGTAGCGGTCTGGGCGAAAGCACGAAAATCAATACAGAGTGTAGGCGGTTGTTTGGCAACACCCTCTGACCCAAACAACGTTTACTATGCCCTGAACCACTGATCCAGTCAATCTGCGCGCTCGAGCCCGTCACACAATGGTCTGCTCCCTTTTTGTTCTTTCCATTCCACTGACCAACCTGCATATAGGCAGTACAAGGGATAACAGCGACGACGAGCACAAACATCACAGGTGCTACTCACAATTCTACGCCTAGTATTATGCCGCCAGAGCTCGAGCAGACGCTCGCTCTTCTATCATCACATCGTTCTGTCCTCGGATACCTTCTGCTCTCGCGTGGAGACCATGTTAGTATCATACGTCATTCAGGCGTCGTTTTTGAAGGAGAACAGGGGAAGAAGTACGCGAGCGTCATAGGCAGGATGGTTGAGACCGTGCAGGCAGGCTTGGATGAAGTAAGTGTGTCAGAAAATGATGGAGTGCGTAGCAACTATATCATATCTTTTTTTTGCTTACATATTGTTTTAGGACCAGATTCGCTTCATGAGAATACGGACCAAACGCCATGAAATCATGATTTCGCCTGGTCGGTGGGGATCTGCATCTGATGGATATCTATACTAATTAATCATTTTCAGATGAAAGATATCTCCTCGCGGTGTTGCATGATCCCGCTTCGTGAATTTACCCTCACTTATCATATTCTCTCATATCTTTGTGTTTATCTTACGACTGTATCGGTAGGATCTCTTGGTAATGCAGGCTTTTGAAAACGATACAATCATTCTCCACTCGGTGCATTGCGGTGATGGTGGTAATACAAAGTGCTACATATTTTGGCTGACATCTCTCCTTGGACGCCGTAGTAGGTTGGCTTGGCCTCGTACCTGTAAATGTGTCATCAGTCTTTAGTCGAATAACCAAGCGAACAGCTCCTCCTAGTACTTTATCTCCTCCAAGGTAAGCTCAATTTCCCTCGATGATACTCCTGCAACCTCTGTATAGAGCTGATACCAACGATAGGGTTCTACACCTATGATGCAACCTAGACCAGCGCAATCTGGCTCATCTTGCATTTCTTCTTCTTGGAAAGCACTTCGACGCGGTTAATGATAGTGGCGGCTGCACTGATCACCTTTTTCTCCCAATTAGTTTGTTGAAACGTGTCGTCACTGTGTCGACAGGACGTGAGAGGAACCCAGAAGGTAGAGGAGTCCAGGGGATGACACCGATGACATTGCGAGCATCTCGCGTTCCCAGACGTTCTATAAAAGTGAGTTCAAGTCGAAAGCACTTGCGGTCCAACATTGATTCCTTCACAAGGATATGCTGCTACTACACAAGTAAAAATATGGATAGTCACCTACAAGTCGTTCATGACAGAGTGGCTGAGACTAGCAGCAAAAATACGTCAACATCGAATGTCCACGTACTGAACCTGTGCTACGCCGATCTGGTACTCTGGTAACGCATTATCTGCAGACCAAGACGATCCAGATATGTCTCGATACTTCAACTGGAAATTGATCAAACTTCAGTTCTATGACTTGAGCAGGATCAGAGTCATTGGAGCCCTGGGAGTCTTGTTTGTAATATGTTCTTGTTTAAATCAAATCCACAAGGCTAATCTACACCGTAACTGCGTGCCCTCCAAACCCGTCAGATAGAAGTCACTACTAACACAGACTTTTAGAACCGATATAATTATTCTCCACTCAGTGCATTGCGTTCAAATTGATGGTAGTAATACAAAATGCGACAGAAGTTGGAACATCGGGCCTTCAAGCTGGGCGCCGTAGGTTGGCTCTAATCACCTAAAGATGGCCACGGATGGCCTTCGGCTCATACCTGTAAACGTATCGTCAGTCTTGAGTCGAATAATCAAGCGAGCAGAATACGCACGGCTCCTCCAGGTGCTTTATCTCCTCCGGAGTGAGCTCAATCCCCTCTATAATATTATCATGCAATCTTTGTATAGAGCTGATACCAACGATAGGGCTCGACACCTTTGATGCAACCCAGGCCAGTGCAATCTGGCTCATCTTGCTATTTTTCTTCTTGGCAAGCTCTTCGACGCGGTTGATAATAGTTGTATCTGCACTGGTCAACTTTTTCTCCCAGGTAGTTCCCTTGAGAGAGTTGAGACGCGCCGTCTCTGTACCAACGGGACGTGCGAGGAGACCAGCAGATAGAGGAGCCCAGGGGATGACACCGATACCGTTATATTTGCAATAAGCGAGCATCTCGCGTTCCTAGACGTGATGTTAAACTGGAGAACAAACGTTGTGATTTTTGGGGACACACCTCCTCGCGATAGAGTAGCGAGTACTCATCCTGCATGCTGACAAAGGTCGTCCAACCATTGCGAGCGGCCACGTCATTCAACATGGCAAACTGCCAGCAACGCATAGAACTAGCACCAAGATAACGGACTTTACCGCTCTGCACGAGGTCGTGGAGTGCTTTCATGGTCTCCTCAGGAGTGACTGAAGGGTCGAAGCGATGGATTTGCAAGAGATCGATGTATGAGGTTTCGAGACGAGCGAGGGACGCGTCGACAGCGTTGAAAATTGCAGCGCGAGACAGGCCAGATTGGTTGACGTACTCGGGCAGTTTATCGAGACCAGGTCTGAGGAACGACTGTATGGAAGGATCATTTGCGACCAGGCCATTGCACTTGGTGGCTATTATGATCTGAGTGCGAGGAATGTTGTACTATGAAGTTCACAAATTAATAAATGTAAAATTCAGGACACCCATCAAGCACACCTTTTTGATGAACTTGGCGATGAGGCGTTCTGACTCGCCGTTTGAGTAAATGTTGGCAGTGTCGATGGTGTTGATACCAAGGTCCCAAGCAGCCTTCATTATTTCGATAGAGGGCTCCTCGTCAAGGACCCAGGGCTACAAGAGGTTGAGTGTGTGGTGAACAGAACAAGAAACAATTACGCACAGCCCATTTCGAAGAACCAAAGCTCATCGCACCAAGCTATGAAGAATGAATATTAGTGAATGGTGAGTGTTTTCGGCAAGATAACTCACAATTGGTACAGAGACTTTGAGACCAGACTTGCCAAGAGTGCGGTACTGAACTTTAGACATTGGGTTGATGAATTTATTGACAGGTGCAACCGCTGTATATAAAGGGGTTGGATGACTCAGCTTGTATGTTGCTTACGGGTGCTCGATGACATGGATATGTGGATAGCTTACCGATATCAATTGAGTAATCATGATGCGAAGAACTGGCAGAACATAAATCTGCCAGCGTGGCAGGTCGGCACAATCAAAGGCACGCGTCGTTTTGGAGTCATTCCATGGCTTAGTCAGCACGTATTAGACAGCAATGTAACTTAGCTGTGCGAACCCTTAGGCCCATGTAAGTCTTAGTCAAGACTGTCGTAGGCCAAAAGGTGCGGAGTAGCTAACGCGCTCACGCTTGATCACCGCAGTCAGTATCCATGCTAATTATAGGAACTCAGGTAAGCAACCGGCTTACAGTCCACATCTCCATTTTGTTTCTCGCATGAATATCTTCGAATCGAGCAAACTCAATGTCATCAAGCGTGAGATTGACTCAGAACCCTCGAGATCGCCACCGGAGACTGCATCGCGTTAGCTTGCTTGCCATCAGCAACATTACTGAGGTGGATATGGTAGCAAAGGCTAGCGCGGACTTTGCCAAGTGTCTCGAATGTGCCTGACAGAGTGAGGGTGCTCAGAGGCCGGCCTCTAGACTGGGTAGCCATTGTAGAGTTTGGAAGTGTCTCCATTCACGCTATCATACACTGAACTCGCGACACTGTGCAGTATATCCTCCCATGGTTCTGCATGTGCAATAGTTCTGCCACATTCAAGTTCTGCTCGTGAGGTTCTGCCATCTGCCTGACCGTTGCCTTGCCATGCTAGTGGGTCTTGGCGATATGACCTATGACATCGCGCCGTCAAACAGTTTAGAAATGAGCAAGAACGGGCTACTCGTCGTCGGGCACAGCGATCGATATACAGGCATCGTTGCCGACGGGTAATAGCATTTGATACATGACTTGATTATCAGGAACGCTCGAAGCTGGGAGCGTTCAGGCCGCCCACGCCTATGGCCCCTTGATCCCAGTATGCTGTAACCGCGAGTTGGAACTTGGCTTCTTGTTTCGAACAAGGCAGTGAATGTAAGAGCAACACGGTCGGTATCTTCACAAAGGCGCTGTCGAAAAAGGACTTCCTGGCGACTACGATATGAACTTGGACTTCACTGACAGTGGTGACGAGTGTTATGCGGTTGGCGTAGAGGAGTACTGAGTACCTGGAGCTGATGCCAACGCGAACCGATGTTGGATTATATCAGTATGTTATCTGAGATTGGAGTCTGCTTACATTGTCTAGTTTTTACAGTACGTGTACCAGTCGGATCAAGAAGCTAGCAGAATCACGGAAAGCTGGAGGACTCAGGTCAAATTTCTGATGGAAGTATTTTTAAAGACACGCACAACATCAGTCAGACGATGAATCTCTGCCAACGTTCCTTTGCAAGAACTTAGAATGCGAGAAAACGCTCGAAAGCAACGCGCCTATACTCCGGCGTCTCCATGCCTTCGCTGATTGTACCCTAAAGTGGTGACGCACTTCAGGGTACTGGCCAAACTCAACAGCAGTGCCGAGCGCCTTGATGCATGGAATAGTCATGGTATTAAGAGGGCTCTGGAGACACTAGAATGAAATTGTATCAAGTACTGCTGTTTGCATAAGTAAAAGGTGTGCTCATATTGACTGAGTCATCAAACACACATGCGGGTCAAAAAAAAAAAAGCCCGGGACTGCAGCGATAAGTCCGCGATCTCGATACAAGGCATAGACCCTAAAATCGTAAGAGTACTATTCGTCGTGGTCCTCGTCTGGAGTTGAAACGTTGAAGTCTGGGTTGGGGGCGTGGGAGAAGGTAATATATCCGGTAGCGATGAAGTGCTCAAGTAGAGGCTTGATGAAGACCCCATTAGAGAGTCAAGTAACACTGCACTCAGGTTGAGTGTTTGTTCATCGACAGTAGAACTATTAGCACGGCGAGCAAGGACTGGGAGCGCATGTCTCAGCACGAAAATGAGCGGAGGAATGCGTTGAGGACATGATAGAAACAAGTGCCTTGACGAGTTAAACGTCAATTGCTGAGCGCATTGCCACTAACGATCCCGAAAGCAAAGAATCAGGCGACTGACAACAAACAGCAACAAATCGAGGCGCTTCCAACGTTCCACGTGCACCACCGCTGTATCGCGGAGTACAAAGGGCCCTCGAGGCCTCAAAAGGCCGCATCACTGATTCAGATACCATACCCTTGATCCGCCATGTCATCGAACGATTCTGTTGCAGTAACGGCTATCTGGACAGACGACAGAAATACAATTCAAGGCAAAGTGCGAGGCCCAGACAATACCGTGGGAGTCTTACAAAATCACATGTTACCAAGGTGTACGTAGACTGCAGCCCTTCTATGAGGCAAGCCCTTGGATCAACTCGCCATGAACGCTAAGTACTTGCCAGGGGTAAGCTTCAACCCATATTTGTTTGCTGCAGGAACCGTCCCATTGATCTACTTCTCTCAAAGACGTTGAACCTTCAGATATGCTTAGCGTCTGCCGCTCGGTTGGTCCCACAGCACTATTTACCCCTAATGCTGAGACGAATCATCGTATCAAACCCCAATTGGCTCAGAATGCACCAGCAAATCAGATATCCGTGGAATCCAGTACAACGTTGCCACTGATACTGCCACAACCTCTCAGTCAAGTACATCAGCAGTCCCACCTCGCAAGTGTGTGTTGTAACCTTCGAATAATCTACAAATGCGCTGATCAGTTTTCCGCAGCCAAGAAAGCTAAGAAACGAAATGCCGCGTCGACGGTCAATACCGCATCGACGGCTGATCCCCCTCAGGTGACTATGGACAACCTGCTCAAGGAGGTGCTGGCCTCGATGCAGGAGATTGCGGAGATTCAAGGAAAGACTGAGAGTGTGCATAATGAGATCAAGAGCGTTCAGAACGACAGTGAACGCATCGAGAGTAATATTACTAGTTTTCGCAAGGATCTAGACGCGGTGAGAGTCGAACACACTCAGATTGTTGAAGCACTGAGAGAAGTAAGTCATCTGTCTTTCCGATCAATCGACCTTGACAACGATCTCCCCAGGTCACTCTGTTACTAGTCCCCTTGCATCTTCGCGTCCTACTCGACCTTGCACGCAGCAAGGTTCTGGAACACTGCAAGTCATCATATCAGTCTTGTACCCTTGTGCCATTTGGATTTGCTTACCTCGCCCTTCTTGCGCTTCCCCAGCAGCACCACTCTGTTCTCCGACAACTCTATTTGGGTCAGCAGTTGCCAGATTACATCGGCTGTCCATTCGATTTCGGGAATCGCGACTCCGGTGTTCTTCTTCCCCATCACGAAGCACGACAACGGCGAGTCACGACGACAACAAAGTGTAAAGTATTAAGTGATTATTTTTCGCAAGGTCAATATTAGGTAATGTGCAAACTACGTTTTAGGTAGGGTGTGTTTTGTGCGAAGGGGTCATAGGCGTGGGCGGTGGGCGTGGGCGAAATGTGCGCCCCGAACTTTGAGCGTCCCTATTGGATCCACTCGCCATGAAGGCGAAGTACTATCCAGGTAAGCTTCAACCCATCTTTGTTTGCTGCAGGAACCGACTCATTGACCTCCTTCTCTTAAAGACGTCGAACCTTCAGATATGCTCAGCGTCTGCCGCTCTGTTGGTCTCACAGCACTATTCACTCCTAATGCTGAGACGAATCATCGTATCAAGGCCCAATTGGCCCAGAATGCACCGGAAAATCAGGCATCCGCGGAATCCAGTACAACGTCGGCCACTGACACTGCCACAACCTCCCAGTCCAGTACATCAGCAGTCCCACCTCGCAAATGTGTGTTGTAACCTTCGAATAGTCTACAAATGCGCTGATCAGTTTTCCGCAGCCAAGAAAGCTAAGAAACGAAATGCCGCGTTGACAGCCAATACCACATCGAAGGTTGATCCCCCTCAGGCGACTATGGACAGCCAGCTTAAGGAGATGCTGGCCTTGATGCAGAAGGAGATTGCGGAGATCCGAGGAAAGAATGAGAAGATTCTGAATGAGAATGAGAGCATGCGCAGTGAGATGAAGAGCATGTGCGGTGAGATGGAGAGCATGCGCAACGAGAACGAGAGGATTCTCAATGAGAATGAGAGCATGCGCAGTGAGATGAAGAGCATGCGCGGTGAGATGGAGAGCATGCGCAACGAGAACGAGAGGATTCTCAACGACAACGAGCGCATCAACAACGACAACGAGCGCATCAACAGTGTGATCTTGACAGCGTCCGCAAGGATCTAGATGCGGCGAGAGTCAGACATCCTCAGGATGTTGAAGCACTAAGAGAAGTAAGTCATCTGTCTTTCCGATCAACCGACCCTGACAACGATCTCCCCAGGTCACTCTGTTACTAGTCGCCTTGCATCTTCGCGTCCTACTCGACCTTGCACGCAGCAAGGTTCTGGAACACCTCGGCCACGAGACCTGGGAAGGACTTCGCGCTTCCTGTAGTGTCTATCAACTCTCGAATAAAATATTTGATGATCTTAAACGGAAGGGAGTATCATACACCCCACCCTACCAGTCCATACTTTTCTTATGTTCATATAACAACATCAGGCGGGCAGGAAATACAGCTGCTCACACCGCAAAGGAGAATGATATTAGGCATGCAGTCTTAACCCAGCAGCTGGATTCTCAAGAACGAGCATGCTTGGAGAATTTGTTTACATATGCATACGACGGGACAAAACTCTAGATCATGGCATTTACTATACCACTAATGTTTGTACTATATGGCTTCTATTCAGATACACCTTGTTATGACTTCAGCCTGAGTGATTAAAGATGTGCCCTCGCTCGCTTAAGACCATCATTTATTGTCTCACTCACTGGATCCGGATGCTCTCGCTTGCTCATGTTTGTGCTATGCTCTCGGTTAGCTTGGTGCCATATCTCTTACTGCCGTTTCTATCTCTTAGTGCTATCCATCTCTCGCTGCCATGTCCTGCTGCCGTCTCACGGCCCTGCATCTCTGATTGCCGCCTCCATCTCTCATTAGTAGACTGGAAACTTCTTTCCGTTGATTTGCTTTATCATCATACAAATTAGTGCTCAATGCAGCCTGCCTGCAAGGGGACACCGTACCACTAAGACGTTTGAGGTGAAGTTTGAATTGTAATGCAGACATAGAGAGGAACTGACATTTTCCATTGGCAGGCGAAGGAGCTCGGACACGGCACACAACGTACTAATACCCCAGCATCATTTTATACCATCGTAAGTATTACTGGTCAGAGGTAACTCGAGCAGGATTTGGCCGAAGGAAATGATTGATGTCTCACCTGGTGATTTGTAGCTCGTCGAGCTTGAGCTCAAAGTCCTTGCAACTTGTTTGTAGCGTCCCTTTATCGTGCAGACGGTGCGCCGGCGGAGCAATTCTTGATACCCACATAGGTAGGTTTCATCATTTTGTCGCGCAGATTTATAACGATTTGTGACTAGCAGGGTAGGACCTATAATGAACCAGGAGGAGACCAATCTCAACATATTCGAGCGATATGTGATGAACAGTATCCCGATCCGACTCATATGTCTATCAGACATGAAGTTTGTGGCGCGCAGTGATGTCAAGAAACACTTCAGGAGCTCTGTACCACTAGACGACAGTCTGTATCACCCCTCCGAAAGCGTACGATACGCCATTCTATCTCATCGATGGCTGGATGAAGGAGAACCAACGTACGATGACATGAAGGCGAACACGGCAGAAGGCCTGGCAGGCTATACTAAGCTGAAGAACTTCTGTGAAGAGGCCAGAGAGTATGGGATGGAATTTGCATGGTCAGACACCTGTTGCATCGACAAAAACAACAGCACCGAACTAGACGAGTCGATTCGTTCGATGTTTCGATGGTACCGCAATTCAGCTATTTGTATCGTGCACCTGGCACAAAGCTTGACCATTGCGGATGTTGAGCATGACGAGTGGTTCGCAAGGGGCTGGACATTGCAAGAACTCCTTGCGCCCGAGAGGATCAAATTCTTTTACAAGCACTGGACACCAATGACGGATGATGAAGATGACAAGAACATGGAATCGACTGAAGTAATGAAGACTTTGGAAAGAGCGACTGGTATTCCTTTTGATGACCTCTTTGTAAATTTCACACCAGGTCCTATCAGGGTGGATAAACGAATGACGTGGGCAGCGAGGCGCAAGACAACAAGAGCCGAAGATGTGGCTTATTCATTGATGGGAATATTTGACGTCAGCCTGCAGGTCGCTTACGGAGAAGGAGGAGACCGCGCCTTCTGCAGGCTCATCGAGGCAATCATGCAGGCCGGTGATCCCTCTGTCTTCAACTGGAAGGGTCAGTCTGCAGGACATCATACTTCACGCGCTATTCCTCAATCGCCCCAGACCTACATGGACTGTCAAACTTTGGAGTTTGATGATGAGCGACTCGAGATGACAATGACCAGCCTCGGCTTGCGAGTGCCTCTAGCGATACTCCCACTGAATGTTCTCCGGAGGCAGTTTCATGGCTCGAGTACCTATCTCAAACTCACATGCCCGCTGTGTCCGGCTCTCGAAATTGATTTCACCTCATATGACCCTACTAATTTGTTTCCAGAAGACGTTGGTAAGTCTGATAGATAATGAGAAGGAATAACTATTTTAACTCATATGGTCCATCTAGGAAAGGCTGCGTGTGACGCGTACTCGTGGGTTTATGCGCTCGGAGTTGTCAACTACTCAAACATTGAGGGATTAAGCGAAGTCCTTGGGATCCGGCGCAAGTCAGCTGGCTTCATTCTAGCGCAAAAACCCAAGTCAAATTTCCCATCGGGATTTCAACCGACTGACTCTCTTGGTATCAAGATCGCGCCTCACCCAGAAACGAAATTCACGAAGTGGTCGTTGGCAAACAGCGGGGGTTTGATTGTGGTTGAGTTTCCGAACATACCCGAGGGATCGGTTGTCTACATCGATCCCGACTACTTACAATCAGTGTACTTATAAGTTATCAGTGTACCACCTACCGTGGTTTCGTACCAAATGCGTCAAGTGTTGCGCAAGTGTAATACCTGAAATCAAGTTTTTTATTTAAGACTAACGCTTGTAGGATTTCGAAATCAATAATCATTCTTCACTCAGTGCGTTAATTTGTGATACAAAGCGCTACAGATTTTGACTGATATCTCTTCTTTAGCGCTGTAAGTTGACTGGAATCACCTAAAGGTGCCCACGAATGGCCTTGGGCTCATACCTGTAGATGTCGTCAGTCTCAAGTCAAATAACTAAGCGAGCAGAATGCGTACGGCTCCTCCAGGTACTTTATCTCCTCCGGGGTAAGCTCAATTCCCTCGATGATACTCTCCTGCAACCTCTGTATAGAGCTGATACCGACGATAGGGCTCGACACCTTTGATGCAACCCAGGCCAGCGCAATCTGGCTCATCTTGCAGTTTTTCTTCTTGGAAAGCTCTTCGACGCGGTTGATAATAGCCGCATCCGTACGGGTCGCCTTTATCTCAAAAACAGTTCCCTTAGTAGAACTGAGACGCGCTGTCTCTGTGCCAACGGGACGTGCGAGAAGACCAGAAGATAGAGGAGCCCAGGGGATGACACCGATACCGTTATATTTGCAATAAGCGAGCATCTCGCGTTCCTAGATGTGATGTTAAACTGGAGAACAAACGTTGTGATTGTTAGGAACTCACCTCCTCGCGATAGAGTAACGAGTACTCATCCTGCATGCTGACAAAGGTCGTCCAACCATTGCGAGCGGCCACGTCATTCAACATGGCAAACTGCCAGCAGCACATAGAACTGGCACCGAGATAACGGACTTTGCCGCTCTGCACGAGGTCGTGAAGTGCTTTCATGGTCTCCTCAGGGGTGACTGAAGGGTCGAAGCGATGGATTTGCAAGAGATCAATGTATGAGGTTTCGAGACGAGCGAGGGACGCGTCGACAGCGTTGAAAATTGCAGCGCGAGACAGGCCAGATTGGTTGACGTACTCGGGCAGCTTCTTAAGATCTGGCATGAAGAACGATGGGACGGAAGGATCATTTGCGACAAGGCCATAGCACTTCGTGGCGATTATGATCTGAGCGCGAGGGATGCTGTACTACGGATTTCATACATCAATGAATGTAAATTTAGGACATCCGTCAGGCACACCTTTTTGATGAACTTGGCGACGAGGCGCTCTGACTGGCCATTTGAGTATATGTTGGCGGTGTCGATGGTGTTGATACCAAGGTCCCAAGCAGCCTTCATTATTTCGATAGAGGGCTCCTCGTCAAGTACCCATGGCTGTAAGAGTTTGAGGATGCGATGAACGGAACAGGAAACAACCACATACAGCCCATTTCGGAGAGCCAAAGCTCATCGCACCAAGCTATGGATGGTGAATCCTATGCGCTAGCAACAAACGTTTTATAACTTACGATTGGCACAGAGACAAAGAGACCAGACTTTCCAAGGGGGCGGTACTGAGCTTTAGACATTGGGTTAGTGAAGATTTCTAACCCCTGTATTTAAAACAATATAAGTTGGATGACTCAGCTTGGTTGACATGACAGGTCATGATGATCAGCAGTGCAATGAAGCAACTCCCAGTACTTCCAGCTGTCCGAGGCAATGATGATAAAATGTTGGATAAGATCGTACTGCCAGGGTTGTAAAGTGGGTTGGAAACTCGGTTGGTCACATCTGGCTTGACAACGAGGACGACAGCCAGCACAACCATGTATCATTACCTAATCAACACAATAGCACAGCGACACCACACAACGTGGCCGTCACTGACTTGTTTTCCAATTGTTCAAGAGTTCGTTCACATTCTCATTTAACTTCAAAGATATTGATTTATCCTTGGCTTAGAACATATTCTTCATTTCGTTTGTTCTCACCTATTAAATAATGTGAGTAACTTGTTGTATTGACCTGTTTATGAGCGTTCAACTCTTCGCTTGACGACACCAGAACTTTGCACGTCCTCCACGATTCACTGTTACCCAGAACTTGTGTATATATCTCAACTTCGTCTGCTAGTCGCGCATCGCTGTTTTTCACTTCAACTGCGATGACTCGATTTGGCGATTTTCAAACACTTTGCTCCCAGGTCCCGTCATACACCTGGTGTAATCTCTTTTATCGCCAGGTCTGTATAGCTTCAAATCCCTTACCCATTCACTCACCTCATTCCTTCATCAGTTACAAACAAATGATCCATCCGTCTTAACTGGTCTATCTCAACCCGCTGCCTCCGCCCCGGTCGGCGTCAATCCAGAGTGTGGGATACCAAAAGTAAATACCAACGGCTCTCTGGGCAACATCGCCAATATCGTTGCTTGCGGTCTCAGTTTTTTCGTTGTCGGCGCTTTGATATACTTCACTGGAAGGCGCAAAGCAGCAGTCGGTCAGTCTTATTACTTCCGCCAAACCAACTTTTTTCGTCTTCAATCACATGCCATATCATTCTTCACACCCTTCCCGTTCCCGTCGACTAATCCTAATCTTTTTATGTCACAGGCCGCATAGAGCTGCGGATATTCTTTGCCTTGTACCTCTTGACTCTTCCCTTCCAGCTAATCACGTCCGGCTCCTTGCTTACTCAGGGCTCAACTGCCTTGGTTGTGCTTACTGCCATTCATGCTGGTCTCGTTGCTACATTATTCTGGACGTTGCTTGCCAATGCAATTGTAGCAACACAAATCGTGGAAGATGGCACCTTGAGCTCAATAGTGGTTTGTCCTGATTATATTTCCCGACCTACAGCCATCTCACCCCCACCCCAGCCCTTCTCCGTAATTTCCATCGCATTCTTCGTCGCAACAACCTATATATCCTTGGATGTCGGACTTACCTTGACACATGTGCTTGGAACATCAAATCCACCCCAATCTATCAACAGTATACCACTTTTTGTCCTCACTAGTATCTGGCCAGGAGTGTAAGTCGCGTGACCTCATTGCACTTCTTTATATTTACTCTTCTGGGTCATTATAGCGCTGCTTTAATCTATTTCGGACTCATGCTGTACATTGTCCTCGGGATTCTGAACGAAGTCCGGCCTGTGTGGTACTATGTCATCGCAGCCATTCTCTTTGTGCTCAGCCAGCTCGACTACTTCCTACTGAGCAAAATCATATGCCGAGTACGTGATGCATTAAGGATAATACGTCGAACACTGCTGATCGGTCAGTACCTGCAGGGCTCATCAATGAAAGTTGACGGTTCGTTCATCGCCACAATACTGGAGACTGCATGCGTAGTCACTCTCTACTTTGCATGGCGAGGAATCACAGAAGGTAACGTCATCTGTCCTTCCTATTTCAACACTGCTCATCCGCTTTATAGAGGACTGGGATAACGATATTTACTACCCATCATAATATATAGATGGGTCGATCATGCTTGTTGTGTTTGTGATTTTTCCTCTTTTATACACGCGATACATGTTACTCCTCGGTTCACACGCTTATTCGCCTCGCCTTGCATTTTGCCTATGTATGGTCACCAACTTCTACGCGGAGTTAGCGCTAGGGGTTGGTCGTGAGGCGCTTGGGGGGCAGCTTATGGTTAAATGAGGCATTCCAGTGGCTTGCTGGTACTTGGACGAATTGTATTTCTTTGGGGTGCATACCTAAATATTGTTGTGCTGTAATATCACCATGATATATACCATCGGTGGTGAGGCCTTTTTGTATAAATCATACATATCTAAACGCGGTGAGTCAACACCTATGCGAGACGCCGTCTCACTGGCACTAGTATGAATGAAAAGCGCCTGTAAGGCGTAAAATATGTGTCAACAAATTTAATTAAAGTAAAAGTGAGTGTAGACTAGCAACTGCTTGCAGCGCATATTGATACTTAACAAAAGGAAGGGCAATACTTTAAAAGGAGGGGGAAGCGCAAAATGGTGTGTACAACACATCGAAACCAGGCCACAGAAGCGCCAAGAAGGGCACCGAAGACATCACGTCTCCTCGACGACCTGTTGGGTAATGAACGGAGTTATTTCAATAGAGACCCAGCTGTCGTCAGCCGGCTCTCTTGTAAAACGACGAGATTTTTTGGACTTGAGGCTACGCGAAGGCGATGTCGGGGTGGAGAAAAGGCTAGCAGAAATTGGGCTTGTCGAACCTGAACTGCTGCTATATGAAATTGGAGAAACTGGAGTTTGACAATCACTAGGGCGACGTTTTTTCAAGCGTCGTCGCGGACTATTTGGGGGAGTGGCGAGGTTAAAAGTCGGCTGGTACGTGTCTGCTATCCATAGCGGGTGAGGTATACGACTCTCAGAAACCTTTTCTTCCACGCGTGGGACATCGACATAGGCAGACGTCGACGTAGTCGTAACGGACCAGTGTGACTTCTACATCGGTGGTGAGATGTGTGAAGGAGTGTGGTATGACGACAGACGTACCAATTCTGCGTGTTTTGCAATGACTGGTATGTTTTCAAAGAAACCTTCATCTGACACAAGATCTGACTCCAATGAGACGTCAGCCTGCGCCTTGTCTGCATTGAGCTTATCAAAAGATGGGTACCGGCGTGATGGCCGTACAATAGGACCTCGCGAGTATACGTCTAGTCCGTCCAGCGTCGAGGATGCCACCGTATTGGAGCGCTTATGTTGTTTGCAAAACTTCGAACTCCGCGGAACACGATGGAGGAAGGCTTTGAATGAATCTTGGAACGTTCCAGTAGTCGCTGCGGTATTCTCTTCCGATGTAGTATATCCGTCGTGATCAACTGAGACAGCTTGAGAAAAATCATCGTCCGAAACGTCAGGAGGAGTAATAGCTCCTGATGAACTCTCGTATCCGTCGCTTGAATCGAGTAGGTGTGTTCCGGAATATGTCACCATCCCATCATCTGGGTCCCATACCGCTGCAAATGTCAATGCTGAATTTGGTGGGACGTCAGGGGACCATTGTTTGCCACTGGTGTCTGCAGAGGTGTTGGTGCTACCGAAGTCGAACGAGATGGATAACTACGGTCCAGACAACGAGAAAAGTGAGACCGACTGTAGGCGGACATAGAGGGGTTGCTCGATCCTACCTTGTTCGGAACGCCCGAAGCTGGACTACTTTTCATGAGACCGTTGTCCATCTAGAGTAATAGTAAAACTTCTACGACAGTGTTAAAGAGTGAGTTGGAATGAAAGGGGTTGTGGTAATAAAGTCTAGTCTATAGCGTGGGGTAGAAAGAGAGTCAGTCTCTCGCCATGCTTTCAGGCACAACGCGGACGCACCTAAGGTCGATGGCTAAATTGTTGTATGCCCGCACACGCGTGGATCCGATGACCGAGAGGAAGGAATAAAAATGAGGGCGGAGGTGAGGAATGCATATCTTATAGATGATCGACTGAAAGTAATCTTGACGCCCTCTTTGCCCCGTGCATCAATAGAAGACTTACATACCTGGTTACTTCCCTAAAATTCTGTGAGAATATTAAAACGTGCATCTTGTCGAGGCCCCTTCAAGTTCCACTCGTCCGAAAAAATTGACCCCATTTTTGGTTCCACGTAAAAGAAGGCTGTACATATCACTTTCCATAGAAGGACACCTGCCCTTTCTTGTAATCACAGTTCGGTTCGGGTCGTAGTCTCTAGAAGGATTGACTTGGCTGACCCTTCCAAGTTAGTCTCCAAAAAGGATTCGCAGACCTCTGATTGCCCATAACGACCCTGCTTTGGGACCATACCCGAAGAGCCTGAGTATGTAGTAAAGGTCAGGTAATGCGGGTTAAAAAGCGAGTCAAGGTCCGTACCGGCAGTCCGCGTTTCAGACGCGTGTAGATCATATGAGCATTCGGAAGCGTCACAGCGAAACAGAGTGCCCTGCATTTCGCGGACATTGGAGGGCGTGTTTTTGTCAGACGGAACAGGTGGAATTCGGGCTTCTTTGCTATGATCGGCGACTACATATTATCCTTCCGCGGGGACACTTGTGCATTAGCGCGTGTGAGGTTACATTCTGCCGGGAAAACGTGGCATTGAAAAATTGTATGTGCTTCGAATCACCACGCTGTATACGAATTTTTGAGTCGCCTAGTGGGCATCGACGGCCCGGCGACAAGACATGAAACGGAAGGTCGCCGGGACTGTTGAAAGGATCGTAAGGACAAATAACGGTTAGGAAGGTTACCATTCCTCTAGTGAAAGGGTCGGGTTCACGCACCTCAGAGAAAGACTTGCCGCAACGGGTCCACATTTCATGGTGTGCAGTTATTACTCAATGACAGAACTTAACCGAGTCGTGTGCATGAAGATTGAAGGGTCAGTGGAGTCTTGAGCTTGAGAAAGAAAAAAAAGGGTAGAGGGTATGTACGAGTAGTAAGGAGCCGAACATGAAAAGGCACGATTAATTCTATAGTTAACTAAACGATCAAGCGAAAACTCAAGTTCGTCTCTTCTCATGATCAGGATCAAATTATTACTTAACGTTAATCTGGGGAACATTCACAAAAGTCACATATTATATAGGCCACTGATATGTTGTCATTCAAAGCCTAGCCTAGGAGTTCGAAAGTTCAAACTATGGATAAGCGGATTCGATTCCTGTATGATAGTAGGCATATTATAGTAATTGTGAGACAGCGATAAAGGGTCGCGTCTGGTAACAGCAGTCGAGGACGTTGCAAATACCTCGGTATTAAATCCCTCCACACTAAGTACTATTTAAAAAATGAAATGATATTGAGCTCACTGGACGCGCCCCTCGTCCATATGAGCCAGATCCTGCTGAGCGCTCAATAACACTTCCTAGGAACTTTATCAGTCAACCTCGCATGCTGCTAGAATATCACTTACTGTCACAAGCGCTTGTCGCGCCTCATCTTTGATTTCCTTCCACCTCCCCTCATAGGTCGACAGTAGTTGCTCATACTCATGTTTCCGAGCCAATGACCCAGTCCTGATGAGAGACTGCAGAACAAAGATGCCTGCAACCCACTCCACTTCGTCTGCCTCCCAAACTGCATCGCGCGCCATCAACTCCGATAACGATTCGGCCGTGCCAGCGTAGTCGCCACGGAAACTCAACAAACCAAGTTCTAGCGCTGCCCCATGAATCTGTGCCCATTGGATGTAGTCCTTTCGCTTTTGGCGGTCTGCAGCGATACGTTCCATTTCATCGCTCATCGTGGTCCCGCTTGCTGGGGTAACGACTGGGTACCATACGGACGATTTACGAATAGCCATCTGCAATGCACGAGGGCCGGCAACTGGACCGGAGACACCTGCATGCACGAGCGTCGCCGGGAAATACCCACATGCTTCAGTGAAACGACGGAGGATTGTTATGATTGTGTCGTGATTTGAAGCGGTCCGTGAGGCTGCCGGGGCGTTGAGAGATGTAGTGACAGCCGCGAAGAGAGCGTCAATTATGGGACTTAATGGAGTCGGCGAGGGGTGTGACAAGACATAACTCTGAATGAGCGATGAGAGCGTCGTAACATCTATTCCTCGCGTAAAGAACGCCTCTCTCAAAGCGTTAGGGCTAGCTTTGAGGGCAAGTGTGGCGGCAGAAGGCACTGATACATTAGTCTGGAAGCTGAACTGTATATGACCAGTAGGCGGAGGAGGTACATGTTGTTGAGATTGTTGCTGTGATGACGAGCTGGCAGTTTGGGCCGCTATGTCGTTTTGGGCAGCATACGACACAGTGGTTGGAGTTTCAAGATTCGGGCTCCATGTTAAGTTATTGTGACCAGGAGACCCAGAGACTATAATGGAGATCTGAGGATCAGGAGAGTGGTAGTGATGTGAGATCCAAACCTTTCTCAGCTGGCTTCTTGGATCTCGTTCTTCCCTCAAGCTTTCGTCTCGCTCGGCCTACGGTATTCTTGTACCAATTGTATATTTGCTAGGGTCAATAACTCCATCAATACATTTTCGCTTCCTCAATTAAGCATCGGCGGTAGCAGCTCTCACCTCCCGGAATCTTGGCTCGGCCTCGTCGATGCCCTGGAGGTCCTCTGGCATACCAAAACGGACAAGGAACTCATTGGCGCGGTCTAACGCGAACTTCTTGGCGTCGCCTCTCACATGCCCGCGAGTACGTGTCTCGAAACCGCTTATGTGACTTCGCAGAAAGATGAGCTGTTCGTCGGTATAAGCCTTGGGCAACCTGGGTTTGCTCACCCTGGGATCGCTGGCCATAGTATCGTGAAGCTGACACAAGGTTCATTCTCATTCACATCCTTCTTCGGCAACACCCGACGGATCGTTCCCAATGGGCCTATGCTTATCACCATGCGGAACTAGGGCGACTCTTTGAATCATTTGTGGTTTCGGATTACCTCAGGTTCAAGCTCAAGATCAAAGGAGTCGTGCAATAGTTCTAGGGTAAGTATTGGCAGGGAGTATATACGTAATATATAATTAGCCATCACATCCAGTGAGGTGTCTAGTCTAACATTGGGAGAGAACGTGGGCTTGCGGCAGATTGCGAGGTACATGGGCGTGAAGAACTTCAAAAGGATCATGAGCCCTCGTTTAGATCCACAGAAAAATGCAATAACTTACTTTGTCTGGCCACCTTTCACAATCGCATCAGCAGCAACCTTGAGGGACTCGCCAACATCATAAGTGCCTTTGGGCAGAAGATTAAGCATCTCCATGAATTTGATTGTGTGTGAAACAAGCTTGCCGCTCCAGCTCATTCGCTAAACAGTAAAGTAATCCCACGCAGTCTGCGCCTTGAAGATATCACCTTCAAGTGGGCAATACCATGGGACTTCATTACATCAGGGCGTTCAGCCAGATCCTCTCCATGTTCAACAGTAAAGCCAGCATTGACCATGGCTTCGTTCTTCATGTGACGCATCTTTGGGATACCGTTTCCAAGCTCAATGGCATGAGCAAATTCCTTGTGCGCAGGGATTGATGAATTCCACGCCGCAACGCGTCGGTCATGCACCACTCGTAAACGCCAAACTGTAAACTGATGCTTGCGGGCACGCTGAATCCAAAAATCGTTGTTATTCAGTCCAATGATGGTGGTGTCGGAAAACCGGGCAATCTCGCACGCGGGACCGCCGACGCCGCATCCGACATCAAGTACGCGCATACCAGGGCGAAGCGACATTTAGGCTGCGAGCTAGTGCTCATGACGGGCCAAGGATGCTGCGAAAGCCTCTCTTTTGTAAAATCGTGAAAGGACTGTGCCCAGCCATACTCGTACAGCTCCGCCGCCCCATCCTAGTAACCTGTGTCTTGTGTCACTAAAGAGCATTCAACAAAATTACGAGGTAATACCATTTACAACTTCAGTGTAGCTCTCAACACGTTTTTGGTTATCCACTTTGCCTTCCTTGCCAAGATCCTTTTGCCAGAACTTGGTATAGTTCTCGACGCGTTTTTCTTGGCGTCCGTCAGCGTACTGAGTGGATACCATGTGTCTGCAAAACAGAATGGTGTAAGCAACAAATTGAACCACCACGTCAACAAGATAAGAGGATATGCTGGAGTAAAACTTACTGAGCTAGACTGCGATGCAGAATGAAATTATGAGGGAACGGGCCGACCTTGCAACTTCAGTGATTTCAGTACTTGGGTCAGTCTCCCCTAAGTAGTATGCGGCACACCTTTAATTTATAGGCAGTCGTTCCTTGATGGATAAAGTTACATAATTATGAACGCCCGACGGAAAGACATCAGGTCGTTGTGTGAACCTGAATCACGTGGAGTCTGGACCAACTCTGGCTAAGAATCTGACTTGCGTTACGCCGCACACCATATAATAATAGGCGAAGATCGGTAAAACAATACTCACGTTCAAAATCCGCTGAAGGTTAATTTCTCCTTAGCAGACTGCTAGAAGGAAGACAGACGTTCCCTGTCAGTGAAAGTACGGTTACATCTGTGCCAGATGCGGGTTGAAGCTCACTCTTGATGGTCACTAAGATTTCTGAAGTCACCTCTTGCAACAATCTCGGACATTGGTCATGAAGGGCGCGCCCCAGATGCATCGGCTTGCATGCTTCTCAACTACCCTCTGCGATTACATGCAGTGTGTCACAGTGCATAGCCATCGTGTTACCGTAGTGTGAAGGAGAACGTAGTATTTGAAGTTGGCGAAAAGTTTCGGATCACCATTTTGTATGGCTTTGAGTTTTGTCAATCATAGGTGTGACGATGAAAAGCCAATAAAGATGAACCGATGGGGGTATCGCATAAACGTTATTGTGGGCCCTAGAGAGCACTGTCGAAGACAAGGGAACGAAAGTTTAGGCAGCGAGACGTTAGAGTTGGCATAACTCTATAAGAACGTTATTGAATCTGGTAGCTGATTTGGACGTCGATTTCGCGTCTCGAAAATGAAATCAGGTTTGGTGAATCTAGGATGATTTCGGCTGGTCAAGCGGCATGACTATGATGTTGTGAAGCTCGCTGTCGAAGCGATATCGAACGTAAAAGAGTCTATGGCCCTATCTGTATCAGATACCCATTTGACACCTTGTCCTGAGAACAAACCATAAAGAGTCAGCTAAAGGCGGTCCACGAGATGCGTTTCTGCCGCAACGAAGTGATACTTATTGTGGTTTCGTGCAACGTTGTACGGTGAGGTTATAGTTGCGTTACTCGAGGGTGAACTCTGGAAATTCAGCACACCAACATTCACTGGAGCAATTGGGTCCTTGGAACTAAGCGCTAGAGACTAAAGTAGTTTGAGAAACATGAAACATGATCGCAGTGCAACTCCCGGGAGTATTTCCGAACGGGGGAACGTGACACAGCTTTCGAGGTCAAACTTGTATCCAAACCACTCTCCAACCCCGTCATCTTTCCCTTAACACACTACAGCGAGGAACTGCATATCTTTCAAACTGAACGTGGTATGCGATGAGCTCGGCAGGTGGACTTTCTCGCAGGCGGGTGGCTGGAGCTTCATCGTCCTCAGCTTCGGATGACGCCGCAAGTCCTAGCTGGACACCAAATAGTCCCAGCTCTAATGGAACAGTTGTAACACACGCAGGCTCGGCTTTTGAAGGCGGAAGCAAAGTTGCATGTGATCCTCGTGACCTCGATCAAGTCCAGGAGGACAGTCGCTATGGTGGCAGAATGCCTCGGCTGACAATCATGGAAGAGGTGCTCCTTCTTGGTCTCAAAGACAAACATGTATGTCTGGACCCTCTTTTATACCTCATACCCTTCCTTTTCTGCGCGCTGTTTGTTTGGGTGTAATCTGCGCTTTCTCTCAGGCCGCTCTGCCTCAGCATAGCATGTCATGCATCTTATATTACCTTACAATCGAAGGGGCATCGTTGCTTGAGCCAATCCTCATTTGCCACGCCCTGACATTAGCTCTTTGCAGGGCTACCTCTCCTTTTGGAACGACAGCATATCCTATGCACTTAGAGGGTGTATTCTCATCGAGCTCGCCCTTCGCCGTCGTATAGCTCTAGTCAAGGATCCAAATCAACGGCGGAGTCCGCTCGCAGACAGGCTGGTTGAGGTTATTGACGACAAGCCGACCGGTGAAACTATCCTTGATGAAGCATTGAAGATGATGAAGGGCCAGGAGACGGACAGAATGTCAATAAATGGCTGGGTTGATCTCTTGAGTGGTACGTCCAGAATTTTCTCAGCATTCTATGCTATCATTCCCGCATTGATGTGCATCTCGTTGCTAAGCTAACTTTTTTGGCAGGAGAGACGTGGAATGTCATGAAAATTGGATACCAACTTAAGCAAGTTCGCGAACGTCTAGCAAAAGGACTGGTGGACAAGGGAGTTCTGCGTACTGAGAAGCGTAATTTCTTGCTGTTCGATATGGCCACACACCCAGTCGCCGACGTCCGGACGAAGGAAAGCATTGTCACACGAGCGGTATCGCTGCTTACTGCGACCACTTCTGCAGTGCCACCGAGTGCTTTGGACAAGGAAGGGACTCAATGCAGGGTCACACGTACTGTTTGTTTGGTGTGCGCGGCATATGCAGCCAGTGTATTGGACAATGCGTTTGGCAGATTGACATACGAAGACAGGGAGGCGGCCTTTCAGAGATGTGACGAGATACTGGCGGAGTTTGCTTGTTGGCCATTCGGGTCTACCTCGGGGACAGGAACTGGGGGTGGTAGAAGGAGAGAAGCTGTGAATATTGGGATGGGAAATACTGCTCCTAGCGGGCGGGAGAGCGTGCTGGGTCTCGTGCAAGAGGTGAAGCGGGAGATGAATGGAGAGGATGACCTTTCGTTTCACTTGATTGCAGGAGTCCTCGAAGTTCTTTCAAAATTAGATTCGCTGTTGTGAGGAATGAATGCATAATTTTTATTTTGGCGCTCGCTGCGCTTTGTTCGTATATACCAGCTGACCTGCGATTGATATTTTTACCTGTACTTGTTGCCTCCCTAAGGTGAGTATAGGGATTCGGTGACTTGGCGTGGACTGACAGCGACGCACTAAGCTTTGTAAGGGTTTAAATTCTCAACAGAATTTGGCAGGGGAGCATACGGGTGTGTCTACCAAACCATGCTGACACCTGGCGTTTCTTTGACGACATTCTCAGGACGCAATCATTTTCGATCACATACAACATAAGCCGCTGAGCTCTTTCAGCCTTTCAGGCCCTTTGAAAGACTCTCAGCTCCCTAGGACCCAATTCACCATCAACTCAACAAGATTATCAGCTGCAGGGATCTTACTTAATGGGCTTCATGTTTCAATGCCTCGGACTTGCACACACTTGATCGATTTTCCCGCTAGGAATTCACTGGGTAGATTTTTGCCTAAAAGCTCATCACAACTCGTCCCTGATCACCTTTTACGAGAGCATTCGGTCACCCACAGATTGGTCATAAAGCGCGGGTCGTTATCGCATAAATTCTTCATCGCTGTCCATACCCATAATCGACCTCTACCGGTGCCCCCGGGCATTGACTCAAATGGCTTTCAGCGTGGTCTTTCACCATGATACTACCGATCCGCTGGCGGTTATCAGCGCACCACCCCCGAACGAATCTTCACACGAGCGAGCAGCAAGGGAAGAACGCGAGATTGAGGCTCAAAGAATAAGTAATCTCATTGACGACGAAATCCGCGCTGAACGAGCGGTAAGAAAGAAAGAAGAGAATATAGTAAAGATCCTACTGTTGGGTCAGAGTGAAAGTGGTGTGTATATTCAATTCTAATGTTTCCCCTTCGTCTTAGCCTTTACAACAGGTAAATCGACAACCTTGAAGAGTAGGTTACGTTGTCTTCTAATTCCGTCATCATTGAATGAGCATCGTAGATTTCCGCATGCGGTTTGCCCGAGACAGATGGATAGAGGAGCGGGCGTCATGGCGAGCGGTCATATTGTTAAATCTCGTTCGGTCTGCAAACACCATCCTTGATGCGTTATCACAAGAGATGGATAATGCTGACCCAGACGAACTCAACGATGCGTTCAAGTTCGACGATTACTATCGTCAATATAAAGTTCGCCTGAGTCCACTGCAGGCAGTCGAGAGTAATTTGAAACGCTTACTCGGTGCCACCGATGATGTCCAACCACGAAAACAGATTTCTCCAACAGTTGCACCTAGCGGGCCACCAGAATTTTTTGTTCGTTCTCGGACCTGGCGTAACTTTCTTCAAACAACTCGAGGTTCCGACTCCGAGTTATCGCAACATTCCCTCCAGCAGGATCTTCCTATTTTACTCGACAGCACAGACGTGATCGCAAATGGCAAAGACGACATCAAGGCACTATGGAAGGACAGTGATATACAAGCCATGCTATGGAAACGGAAGACTCGGCTCGAAGACTCTGCCAGCTTGTCAGTTTATTCGTATTCCTTTCTCGCCTTCTATATTTGAATTGCATCTACCCGCAGCTTTTTGGACTCAATCGACCGATTATCGGCACGGGATTATGAGCCAACAGATGAAGATGTCCTTCGTGCTCGATTGCGCACGCTTGACATCCAGGAACACGAACTGATGGTTGACGACGGTGAGTGGCGCGTGAGAGTTTTTGCCTTTGTTTTCTGAATCCGTTTCTGCAGAAACCGATGTTCCGAAATGGAAGATTTTCGACGTTGGCGGCTCGCGTACACAAGTCCGTGTTTCGCCGATTTTTCAATTCATGCTCATGGCCGATGATGTCTGCTAGCGTCACGCTTGGCTACCGTATTTTGATCAAGTCAATGCAGTCATATTTCTCGCACCAATCTCGTGTTTTGACGAGCGACTGCTCGAAGATCCCCGTGTCAACCGTCTGGAGGATTCTTTCATACTCTGGAAAGCGATATGCTCCTCCAAGCTTCTCTCGCGGACGATCCTCATCCTTTTTCTAAACAAGATGGACATTCTCGAGGAGAAAATCAGACACGGCGTAATGGTGAAACGCTTTCTCCCCAGCTACGGCGATCGGCCAAATGTGACAAATGATGTTGTCAAATGTATATATTCCTCGCTATGTTGCGAACTTTCAGCGTGATTAAACGACTTGCCTCTAGACCTCCGACAAAAGTTCAAAGATACGGTGAGGTACTGTTCTCCGGAGCCACGAGTATGTCATATATACCCGACGTCCGTCATTGTTGGTTCTTCCCCTTGTTCCAAGCCGAAAGTCATGTTAATCTTCATTTGCTTGATAGGATACGAAGAGTATGTCTGTAACACTTATATCTGGTATGTGCTATGTATTCTCCTGTGGTTTACGCAACCTGTTGAAATGAAGGAACAACCTGGCAGTGCGGGATGGAATCTTGCGCGGACACCTGAAGCGGGCGGATTTGTTCTGAGCGTGGAGTGACAGTAATATTTATAATAACAGATCACATGCGAAACCTTGGCGAAAACCTGATGAAGATACGACAATTGACGATATAGATACATCATACGACAAATGTAATTAGTGCACGATTACCCCCTCCCGGGCTGAATCATGACTCGTAAATACCATATCGTAGGTATCTATAGGGACCCAGGGCATAATACAATCAGTATGGACTTCTCACACGACTCCACGCTTAACTTGACTATAGCGGTCTCCATCCCTCGCCTACTGGCCATTTGAGGTTGTCTTTTTCCTTCAGAAAATCACGATGTACACCAGAGTTCTTCATCTGTTCCAGGTCTTCCCCTGAGCTCGGCTCGTCGTCGGTAGGAGATTCCGTAGTTGGATCATTATCAACATGAGCACCATCATCGTCTTCGTGATGGGTATCCGTCATCAGTCCCTGCTCGCCCTCCTCTACCCACCTCGCTGGCGCATGCGAATGGTGGACGAACCCCCGCCGACTGAGACCTGCCTCAGCTTTGTACCGCGCCGCATCCAGCTTCGGTTGGGCCTTGAGTTGAAGATTTGAGATAGTTTTCTGGATGTGGGACATTGGTGAGGCGTCAGTAGTGTCGCGGTCTCTCGTGAAGGAGATGTGGCGAGAGAGGCCTTGGAATGATGGTGTTCGTGTGTGTGAGGGAAATGCAGATATGGACGAGGGGAGCTCCGTTGTGCTTGACGCTGCGGTGAACTGGATGCTCTCGGGACGCTTGCGGCGAGGAGGAGGGAGTGGAGGCGTTGCAGTGTGGCGCAGTGACTTGGACCGCGTGGGACGCGTGGAAGAAGATGTGATGATATCTGCGATGTCGTTTGTAGGTCTGCGGTCCGGGTGGGTTGGTGGCGCAGGTAAATGGGATGAGACGTCTGGTATCGTAATTGAGAAGGAGTTTCCAGGAAGGTTTGGTTCTCTGGTGGGGATTGGTGGGCGGAAAAGGGTGGGCGTATGCGAAGACTGGGTGTTTAAGCTAGCGCTCGCCACTTGGTCGATGGATGGCAGGGAACTGGATGTCGATGATGGAGAGCTGGGTGTTCGTCGACGAGGGAGCGGAGGTGCAGGGCATGTGTCTTCAGATCCAGACGAACGACTATCGAGTCCTTTGAGAGACTGCTTTGTGGGACTTAGGCTGCGCGGCCTGCTGCTCGCAGAGGAACCGGATGACGTCGTCTTGAGCACCTGTAGAACACGCGTACGATCCAGCTGTTCTTCAACACGCTTCAAGTTCTGGCCGTGCTTGCTAGCCTCCAGTGACTGCTTCATTAAGGGAGTCATGATGTGACTCGGTTTGATAATACGAGGAGTATCAAGTGGAGCTAGAACAGGTGCGCCTCGGGACTGGCTTAATGATGTGCGACGTGCTTCGGCAACCAAGGGTGCTGGTTTTCGAGGAGGAAGCGGTGGGATTTTGCCATCATTGCGCCTCTCGGGCGATTTCTGAGCACCGTCTGTCCAATTTGCTTTGTCGCGCATCAAGAACGGGTTATGGCTGATCCTCTGTGATGGACGAGAGGGTATGACGGGAGGGGTGCCGGATTGATCCTGAACAGATGATAACGAGTGCTGTGTATCAGACTCAAGTGATTTGCGAAATGGATTTGTGTCCGGAGAAGACGAGTTCGAAGATGTGTTAGATTGTTTGGGTCGGTCTGGATAAACTGGGGGAGCGTAGACTTGACGCTTTGAGGGAGAAGTCGATCTCGAGCGTTCAGGAACTTCTAGGATTGGATGGGCTAGAGGGCATTCTAGTCAGTGCTAGCCAAAGGATGAAGAGGTGATACACATACCTTGGACAAATGCAAGAGTCCTATCAACGCGTTTACCTGATACAACGTGAAGGACAAGCCTGAGTGCAGCAAAAAACTGGCCACCGGTGAGACAATCTGTGTGGAGCAAGTTTGGGTAGAAGAGTTTCAAGATCTGGGCGGAACGCGTACAGTTAGGAAATGAAGAGGGCGTATAAATGGCCGAACCTTGTCAATGTCTGCAGTTGGTAGATTAGGATATCTGCCTCGTAGCCATGCTCTGACCTCGCGAACACCAACGGACATGGCTTCAAAGTGGGCATCATCATGAACGGTGTCGGGTGAAACTGCGAGATCATTGAGAGACGAAGTAAAGAAGTTGTATTCTAGATCGTTGAGAGCAGATACATGAAGAATTAAAGGTCGCATTGGGAGCAGGATAATAGTCTTTGCACTGGCATGAGTAAAGCGCGCGTAACCGTGACAAGTCTTACCCGGACCACGTTCATTTGATCATCGGCACGTGTCTTGTGACCACAACGATCATGTCGGAAGATCTTCCACCACCATACACCCCAGCTACTACAGCACCTCCCGTCTGGGAACCTCACTTTATAGATCTAACCCAACATTCGTCTCTTATTCTTCGTAAACCCTTGGATCCTCCACCCGATTGCTTCTCTACTCCTTCACCTCCAAGATTGAAATCTAACGATTTCCCTCCATTCAGAATCCCCTGCGCTGGAAACAACCTCGCAGATGGTTTTCGCATTCTTTATCCCTCAGGTCTATTTGAGAAACATGGGATTCAACAGGCAGACTGGACCCGCTTCCTGGAGGATCTTGGAATCTCTGCTCGTCTTGCGAGTCAGGGACTTAGTGCAGTGGGTTCTCGTGTTCCCATAACACCAATCCCTATCCGTGGTATATTCAGCAGAAGAGCGACTGGGATCACATATGACTCTCAGTTCACAAGAAGCCCTAGGGACGAGGTGCAGACGCTCATTAACGTTTGGAATCAGTCTGCATTTGAACGACGCAAACTACGTGTCAATCTGCGCATCAAAGGAGGGGTAGACAACACGGCCGCTTACGAGCTTCTTGTCGAGTCTCTTTGAAATGTTTACGATGATCGAATTTCATGTTTCACGTCAGGTGTAGGACATGTTTGTAAGTACATGTGCATATGTGTCCGCAGTTAATTATCCTCGCACAACTTTGGTAACTTGATTCGTGCTACTTTATGAAGGAATTATCTTTAGAGCTCCCTGTACTACACATGCAGCAGCGCTACTTGGGACTGGTGAATTTACCTATACATTTGACTTACTTTCATCTGAGTTCACTAGAGCGATTGTACAACATGATGGTTATTAGATTATGCTTGTAAAACTTGCTTCCAAGTTCGCAATAGTGAAGAAGAGGTGCTCAGCTTACAATTATCTGACAGCGCAGCGAAAAATCTGACAGTTCGAAGACCGGAATGCGTGCATAGCTTCAGAAGAGATACAAGTACGAATTTGATAGTCATCAATACATGGGTCGGCCAAGTTTATCATGCCCCGGAAACGATGGCGAGTGAACAGGAAAATACAGGAAACACAACCTGTATTGGGCCGACAGTTTTCAGCCTGGATGGTTGATGACAATGCAAATGCACGTGGATGTGCGAAGCAGTTGTAACGGCTGTAACGGTGACCTTTACATACTTGCAAGATACATCATGGTCAAGGGTTTTGCTGGCATGGTAGTGTTGAAGGATAAAGTTAACGCGAGATGATGTCCACCAAGTTGAATTCGAGAAGCACGATAGAATTCTCTCAGATGGATACTTGCTCACCTTGGAAGTCCGGCCGACTTTGTACCTCAAGTTCCTGAGCTGGGAACCCAAATTTCGTCGGATATGTAAGGGTCGAGGGTTCGGGACTCAGCACTCAAAACCATTCCGTGACCAGTCCGAATGAGGTCTGCCCTGTGCGGGTTAATCAGAAAAGCGAGAATTCTGATCCGAGATAAAAATGACCACCGCAGGGGTCGAACCTGCAATCTCCTGATTCCTCCGTTATCGTAGTCAGACGCGATGCCATTTCGCCAGGCGGCCGTGCTTCTGTCATCGTTCCTGTTGGAAATGTCACTCCGGTTTCTTGAAAAAGACCGGCAAGTTGCTCCCGTGATAGCAGGCAAGACAACCTATGTAAGTGAGTGTGAGTCTAAAATAAAAACTTAGTTTCAGGTATCACCTGCGAAATACTCAACACATTTGGTACGAAAACACGATAGGCGGTGCACTTTGGTGCATGATAGCCTATAAGTACACTGACTGTAAGTAGTCGGGATCGATGTAGAGAACTGATCCCTCGGGTGTGTTTGGAAACTCAACTACAATCAAATCCCCATGACAGGCAGTTTTGTGCATAGGGGAGGTTAGCACTAGCACTAGTGTCGAGAGAAGAGATGGGTATTCTACCCATGATTTTGCAAGTCCATTAGAGTTAAGGCTGCGTTATGGTATATCTAAAACAGCCATATTGCGCAAATATGCACATGTCAGATTTGCGCAAAATTGACCCCCCCATATTGCGCAAATATGCACATGTCAGATTTGCGCAAAATTGACCCCTCATATTGCGCAAATATGCACATGTCAGATTTGCGTGAAATGGACCCCCCCCATATTGCGCAAATATGCAAATGTCAGATTTGCGTCAAATGGACCCCCCATATTGCGCAAATATGCACATGTCAGATTTGCGTGAAATGGACCCCTCATATTGCGCAAATATACAAATGTCAGATTTGCGTGAAATGGACCCTCATATTGCGCAAATATACAAATGTCAGATTTGCGTGAAATGGACCCCCATATTGCGCAAATATGCAATGTCAGATTTGCGCAAATTGACCCCCCATATTGCGCAAATATGCAAATGTCAGATTTGCGTCAAATGGACCCCCCATATTGCGCAAATATGCACATGTCAGATTTGCGTGAAATGGACCCTTCATTTGCGCAAATATGCACATGTCAGATTTGCGCAAATGGACCCCCCATATTGCGCAAATATGCAATGTCAGATTTGCGCAAATGACCCCCCATATTGCGCAAATATGCACATGTCAGATTTGCGTCAAATGGACCCCCCATATTGCGCAAATATGCAATGTCAGATTTGCGTCAAATGGACCCCCCATATTGCGCAAATATGCACATGTCAGATTTGCGTGAAATGGACCCTCATATTGCGCAAATATACAAATGTCAGATTTGCGTGAAATGGACCCCCCCCATATTGCGCAAATATGCACATGTCAGATTTGCGCAAAATTGACCCCCCCATATTGCGCAAATATGCAAATGTCAGATTTGCGTGAAATGGACCCCCCCCCATATTGCGCAAATATGCAAATGTCAGATTTGCGTCAAATGGACCCCCCATATTGCGCAAATATGCACATGTCAGATTTGCGTGAAATGGACCCCTCATATTGCGCAAATATGCACATGTCAGATTTGCATGAAATCAACCCCTATGTTGCACAAATATACAAATGTCAGACTTTTTGAAATCAACCTCTCATATTTTGCAAAAATACAAATGTCAGATTTGCACAAAATTGACCCCTCATATTGCACAAAAATACAAATGTCAGATTTGCGTGACATGGACCCTTCATATTGCGCAAATATGCAAATGTCAGATTTGCGTGAAATGGACCCCCCATATTGCGCAAATATGCAAATGTCAGATTTGTGCAAACTTGACCCCTCATATTGCGCAAATATGCAAGTGTCAGATTTGCGCAAAATCGACCCCTCATATTGCGCAAATATGCAAATGTCAGATTTGCGTAAAATCAACCCCTATGTTGCACAAATATACAAATGTCAGACTTTTTGAAATCAACCTCTCATATTTTGCAATTTGGAATTAGAATGGAGTCACTGGAATCAGTTCAGACATGGTGTGATATATGAGTGTATTATTATGTAAGCTTGCTATTGTGATATGAGTCAAACTGGTATCCTACAGTGAGGTCTTGAGATTTGGTTAGAATTAAAACTAGTGCAAGTCAGGAGGTGTGCATAAGGAAAATCCCACACATAGAGCTTGATATTACTAAGCTTGTAAACCTTGATATACAGCCATCCAAAGTTTCAAAAACACAAGTTCTGAGTTTCTCGATAGTGGCCTAAGAGTCTGTTCGGACATCATTTTCGCCAACCAACTTTGAAATTCCAACGTAGCCCATACAAGACCAAATAGTCCGAGACCAAAAATAATGTCACGCTGATCATGCTGATACAATATGATAGTGGTCGCTGAGCCTATTGTACAACACAATGCATCCTAACGACCTCAATGCCAAATTTGATCTACTAGACCCACTAGACAAAGATGATGTCGACATCGAAGACAGTGCGGATGAAGATTCCAATTGTGCTGATGCGGTAGACTCCGACCGACTGGACGTAAATGAGCTGCACTGGATAGACAAGATGTTCCATGGTGCTGCTCGTGTAGCAATGGCTATTGCTGATGCTGCTGGGCAGGTACTCCAAGGTCACTCGCAAACTCACTACAACAAGCAACCCTATTATACTTCAGCCTTGTCTGTAATGGCATGGGTCAACGAACTCCTCGCACGACATCCAGACCACATACGATGCGAACTTGGCATGCAGCATCATGTATTCTATTGTACTATTGAATATACTTCACGATTCAGGGTGCAGAAATTCAAAACATGTCACACTTGAGGAGCAGCTTGCCATCTTCTTGTATGCATCTGTCACAGGACTCTCTGTTCGCCATCTTGGTGAATGCTTTCAATGCTCCAATGACACAATAGCAAAATATGTTATCCCTTAGTGTCATACATTTGCTTATTGTTTTGAACGTATTTCAAACATATTCTCAACGCATTTTCCTCCCCCCCGATTTATTCATTGTATGTCCAGCTACCCAGCGCAGACAGTCCAATGCCTCTCAAAGTCCTTTGAAACCCGAAATTCTACTCATACTTTGCCAATGCTGCCGGCGCCATAGATGGTACTCATATTGCATGCCGCCCTAGTGGCAAGGATCGCGATGCAACTCGCGATCGTAAAGGCAACTTGACTCAAAACTGTCTTATAGCCTGCTTCATTGTCGCTTGGCACTTCTCTGTCTTCTTGACCATACAAATGCCTTTGCTCTACCTTCTCAACCATACAAACACCTCTGCTCCACTTTTCCCTGAGCTTGTTACATAATCATTATCAGACAGTACAAAGTCTTGCTCCGTCTTGCAGTCACCTCAGTATTGTTTCCATGACATACTGAGGTGAGTAGATACTCCTATGTCCATTCTTCTTGAGTACTGATGTATCACACCAGTGTGTTCTCCGCTAGATCTACTAGTGTCTACAGGTTATGAGCCCTGAGCTCTAAAGGATCTCTGACCCACATGCATGCTAACTAATCTCAAATTCATCTAACGGACGAACCCGCATCTATCATTTCTCTACTATGAAAAAATATGATCATATCATCAAGCTCACTGGCTTGGACGTTTACCCGGCATGGCGCAGGACTGTAGAATTGGCCCTAGCCAGTGAAGGAATATGCAACCACTGTAGCAATGGCACTGACCCTGACGATGTCATAGAATTCGCCAGTGTGATGCCCAAGATCGCTACGCCAGGACAGCCTACGAGCACCGAACTTTCTTCCATCAAAGAGTGGGTGCACGTCGAAGATTCACAGAGATGGAAGTCGCCATTTCGGACCCAGAAGCTGTCTGGATGCTCTTACATGGGCTACCTGAAACCCCCCAGTGGGTCGAAGTCTTACTCTTGGGTTATACAAGGCTCCCTCATTCTCCACTTCTGCCAAGTCCATCACTCCCCTACAAGTCTCGTTCGAAGATGTTGCAACAGCATTCGCTGAAGAAGCTAATCGTCAATGTGGACAGCTAAAGATGGCACGCACCGGACCAGGATCAGAATACACCAACGTTGTAACTCCTACCTCGACTGAACGCAAAGTCAACCCCTCCAATGGCGTGTGGATACACAAGCACAAACCCAAGGGGGTGCCTTGTGACAACCCAGCCTGCACTGGACTACTGCAGTCCATGACACACGATCGCGATCACTGCATGCAATCTGGAGGGGGAATGGAAGGAAAAGCACCCTGGAGCAGTCAGCAACGAGGAGGAGGAGGAAAAAGGAAGGATGTCGCAGCTGTGGTAACTGAGGCGAAGCCTATGCCCTCACCGTCCATGTCATCTCCATCCGCTTCCAACACTCCTTCAACACCTTCAGAAATGACCGCTCTCATCATTACAGCACCTAGTCATGACTATGCATCGGACTGTCGGGAATGCATCGAACGGTAAAGGAATGTGTCGGAAGTGTGTCGGGTTGTTGGTCAAATGAGTGTCGGATGTGTCGGAATGT